ACAACGCGGACGAGGTGGAGTGTGGTGACGTGGTCAATGTTTTTACGCAAAGTTACGACCTGGCAGCTTGCACGTTTGACTTGCAGGTCAACAACGCTGCTCAGGGCCTGTTTTTGAATGCGCTGCGCGCCGAAGTGTACGTGGCGGTCAACCCGGCATGCCGCAGCTGGCCGTTTGAGTACAGTGTGGTGGCATTCCAGCCCTCGACCAACGACTCCACCGCCGATCCCGATGCTGACGCGGAGGCAGCCACCATAACGAGTACAGGTCAGACGTCACTTCTCAACAGCTTTTCCGTGCCACTGCCCGCAGCCCTGGATGGACAGACCGTCCCCTTGCGGCTGGAGGTGTTTGATGGCTTTGGGCAGTCGGTCGTGGCACCGTTGGTGCACGTGACTGTGGACACTGCGGCACCAGTACTCGCGCAACCCGAGGGCCAAGCGCCCGTCAACGTCACATTTGACTACCTGGCTGGTGACGTGGTGTGCCGTCTTGCTGGGGCACCGACGGCTGCCAGTGGACTGCAGGACCTTACCTTGCTGCTGTGGTCCGACCTGGACCTGGACTTGGCTTCAGACAACGTCACGGGTTCAGCAGCCACCATGGAGGCAGCGGTGGCCCTCGAAGTGCGCACGAGCGCTGAGGCCGGCGTGGCGTACCACTGCCAGGCATTGGTGGCGTCCCGCTCCGGTCAGGTGGCTTCTTTCACTGAATCGACCGAGTTTTACTCGGACATTAAGCCTTTGCTGGAGAAGCCTACAGTGGCACGGTGTTTAGACCTGCAAAAACCGTGCCTGGCGGTACCGGGAGACCTGCTGGCAGGGTCATATGCCAGCTGTACTAACGTTGGGCGATTGCCGTCGACCAACGCTGCGCGCTGGGTGCAGGGAGAGACCGTGTTGTCGAGCACACTGCTGCTTAACACGACACTGGCGCAGTTCCCTGCGGAATTGGACCCCAATGCAACCATGCCCGGCGTGGTTCCCGTGTACTTTGAGCAAACATGCTGTCTACGTGCGACGCTGTGTGCGACGCAGCGCTCGCGTCCTGTCTTTTTGACCCGGGGCTGCGATGTGACGGTAGTCTCCATCGAGACCAACCACGGCATGGACCTGGACTACCTGGGGCGTGAGCACCGCGTTGTGGTCGACTTAGCTGACCCATCCTACGTCAAATTTATGCGCTGGAGCGTGGTGGAAAGCAACACCGGGGTGGCGCTGGTCACTCAAGAACAGGTCACGCCACACTTGCTCAGTGCTCACGTCGAGTTGGACGACAGCATGCAGGCTACGCGCCCCAGCGGGTTGGAAGTGCAGGTGGTGCCAGTTCTGGCGGATGGCCGAGCCTGCCCGCCAACCAAACGAGCACTGCGCGGGGTGGACCTGACGGCACCAGCACAAGACACGCTCAAGCTGACCTGCCCTGTCACAGTAGCTTCGGCTGGGGCACCTCATTGTAGCTTGACAGGAGACGCTCAAGACCCAGAGTCGGGACTGCTGCGCCTCGAGTACAGCGTGGCCGCATGTGCCGCATGTCACGAGGTGTGGCAACCACTGCCGGTCAACGCGAGTGTGGCCACGAGTGAGGTGTGCCGCGTCAGAGATGTGGTGGGTGCTCAGCGAGGTCTTGGCCCCGGCGGTCTTGTCTACTGCGTGGTCCGGGCGATCAACGGCGCAGGTGCGCCGTCGTCGGTCATTTCGGCTGTGTACACAGTGGACACAGCTGCGCCTTCGGTAGCGCCTTCTGCTGCCCTTGATCTGGATGTGATCAGTCCGCATGGGGCCCCGCACGGCGTGGTTGGGCCGCTCGGTTTCTCAGTTCAGCTATCGGCCGAAGTCCACGATGCCTCGCCACTGGTGGGTGAGCTCTGCGTGGGCAGCTCGTGCGATGATTGTGAGCTCGCCGCGTGGGCCGAGGTGGCCCCAGACGCTCTCGAGCTGCCGGTGGCAGCGGGTGTGCTCAACACGTCGGATGTTGCTGCTGGCTGCGTGCGCGTGCGATTCACGGATACCCACGGTCATGAGCTGGCGGCAGCGCAGACCTTCACGGTAGATCGCACCCCCCCACTGCTGAGTGACGTAACGGTGACACCGGACGGCGCGGCGCGCTATACGCATCAACACACGTTATGTGGAAATTTGCAGACAGTGTGGGTAAGCTGGGCCAGCTCTGACCCCGAGTCGGGTGTGGTAGCAGTACGCATCACCATCAATGGCACGGGCGTGGAGCAGACGGTGAACCACGATGCGCTCTTGCCACCAGCGCGAGTAACGATTCCGTTGGCCATGGAAGGCGAGCACTACCATGTCTCTGTGGCCACCCAAAATGGTGTTGGGTTGTGGTCGCGCCAGACGCTTGCCCCGTTCATGCACACGACAGAGCCCACCGCAGCATGCTCTGCCAGCTTGGCCACGGATGAGCTGGCAGCGAACGAGCCCTCCAGTTTTGGTCTGTAGTGAGCCCGCATCCTGTCGTTTGTGTTTGAGAAGTTTGACATGACCTATTTGGTTTGTCGCTTGTCAAGCCGGCCGGCTAGGCTCGCTTTTCTTTTTCGTTTTTTTTTTTTTCTTCTTCTTTTTTAACATGCTAACATGTAAAGTCTTTTGATGGACATAGATGCGTTCCTTGAGGCCCGCCGCTGGTGTGTGTGGTATGGGCGAGTTGTTTTTTCCCTTGCTTGATTGATTTTTGAACTGTTTTGTTTCTGTGACTTGTGCGCCGAATGTGACCTGTCAACTGATTGATTTTCTCTGTATGTGAACCTGGATGGTACTGCTCGGCGCACTGGGCAAGTTGCCTGTATTCTCGTCATTGTCTTCTTCGTGTCGTTTTCATGTTGTTCTCCCTGCCCGATTCCGCTCCTGACATGTGAACGCACAACAATTCAGACGAGTGACTGACCTGTCAAGCAATGACACGTGCATTGTTGGCCAGCACGGCGGGCAGCGGGAAGGGAGATGAGGAAATCTGGAGGGACCAAGCCCAGGCTGGGGACCACGCCGAAGATGGATGATGTTCCCCAAAGCTGGACGCGAAGTGTCATGAACCGTCTTGAAGGTAGTGTCCCCCTTGCGTCATAATGTCAGATTTCCTTCTAGGGATGCTTCGTGAAAGGAAGCTTTTTCAACTCGACAAAAGGACTCCAAGCAGACGTAGTGTGTGAGACAATTGTTCATGAAGACAGCTCTGATTCGAAAACAGGAAGCCTTCTCCCAACCTTCCCAACCTTCCTTCCACCTCCGCCATCCTCTTCTTGCTCGCTACCACCTCACCACTGCCATGTCCCAGGCTCATGACATGCGGTGGCTACTCGAGCTCGGTGGCATTTTTTTGATCAGCACCTCCCTCCTCACTCAGGACCAACAAGACCTGACCTCACCGTCAAGATGACCGTCCGCGCCCTGCTCCTCTTGACCCTGGTGGCCAGTGCCTCTGCCATCAACGTCGTTGACAACCTCAACCTCACGGCCTACTTTGGCGTTTGGTATCAGGTGCGTCGTCGGTACAGTCTAGCGCAAGCCCAGTGCTCTTGAAGGCCCCCCAACTCACTCTCAGCAACACTCTCGCACATAGATGTATGACGATCTCTCGGCCACAGCCACCTTTGAACACGATGCCTACTGCGCCACTGCCAACTGTACGCACACGTCTCTTGGTTCCTCAACATGCTCGGTTGTTGCTCACACCTCGCTCGCTACCTTGGCTTGGAACCCCACAGACACTCTTCGCGATGATGGCAAGGTCTCCGTCGACAACCGAGAGCGATATGCCAGCCCCACTGTACGAGTCATCATGCTTGACCACATTTTTGGACCCAGCCTCTCACATCGCAACGTATTTCTCACCTTGAATTTGATGCCATGCTCCACAGGGTGACGCCCGCGGAATTCTGGGTTACGCCTATGCTCCCAACGCTTCGGAGCCTGCCAAGCTGAAGGTGCACTTTGATGTCAACCCAGTCGACGGCAACTGTACGTCAATTTGCGTCCCAAATTGGGCAGGCCAATGGCACGCTCCACAACCGCCAACCGCCAACGCTTCCTTCTCATTCACCCGGCTCTCTATTCCTCCTTCTTTTTCTTTGTCTCTTCTTCAGACTGGGTTGTCAAGCTCGGTCCTCAGACAACCACGAACCAGGCCATTTGCAGCCCGTGCTATGACTATGCCATTGTCAGCGATCCCACCAAGGTGTGTAGCGTGGGCTGGTCGCGTTCGATCATTTGACTCTACTTGTTGCAACACGAGTTCTGATGCTGCGGCTGCTGTCACGTTACGTTATTTTATGTTTAGATCTCGCTGTTCGTCCTGGCCCGTGACTATGACCAATTCAACAGCAAGTACAATGCCACCGTCTTTGAGTACCTCAACCAGGAAGGTTTCAACACCTGGGTCAACACACCCGTGCCCACTTACCAGGGCAAGGACTGTATCTACCCTTAAACGCTCGTTTGGGTTCAACTTCAATCCCATGTTATGTTATCGTGTGAATTCGTCAGCTCGTGCAACCCCCGCGCGATCTTGAGCCTGAGTCTCTACACAGCAATTGATGATAGCCGCCAAACTCCTAGTTGTTGTTGCTTCTTTGCTTTTTATTTTGGATTTTTTGGATGATATCGCACTTCCTGAACCCGCGAGATGACGGGACGAAAGCCATCATCAACACAATGATGCACAGTTTGTCAAAAATTCCAATACGATTGCCGTCAACATCACCGCCTCAACATCATCAGTTATAACATAGGGTTCAGCTAGGAGCGCTGGGCGCCAACGAGAACGAGCTTGAACAAAGCAATAATAATAATAATAATAATAATCACGATAAAAAAAATATAATAAATAATCAAGATGTGCGCTGGAATGGAGTCGGTGTGGGGTACCAGAAGAAGCCAGTCGATCCTCATTCCACCATCAGCGACCATTCCGGGCAACATAGCCATTTCAAGGGCACAGAAACATACTTCCGAAATAAAACGTATGGCCTGTTGAATCGACACGATTGCTCAGCGTGGCCTTTGACTTGTTGCAGCACGAACATACAGGTCGGCCGCCCCTTGCATCACATTGTTCAGCTGGTGAGCTGTTGCCGTGTCAAAGGAAACACGTGGTTTGGACCTCTGGTGGTTGGCGGCGGATGCTACACGCCCGCTTGAGACCGATGAGGATGCTTGCTTGCTTAAATCCTGGTCCAAACTCATCACATTGCGTGTCCGAGCGGATCGTTTAGGACTGTTTTCATCCTCGGCCTCGGGGCTCTCGGGGATGGGGATGGGGCGATCGTGGCAGGAGGTTTGACGCGAGAGGGGCGCGGGTGCACTTGGAGAGCCAATTTGTAGGCGGGACACGGAACGCTGCTGAATGCTGTGGAAGCTGAGCGAGTTCTGGTGCGGTGAACGTGGGCTCAAACAGCGACTGGATGTCTGCTGCATGGAGGTTGAACCTTTGGAGCAAGCTGATGGCGAGCAAGCCCGGGTGTCGAGCGCTTGCTTGCTGTGCCAGGAGACGTTTGCGCTACTTGCCATTGGGCGCACACCGGTGGTGTCGGCGGTAGGCGCATCTTCGTCCTCCCCTGCGAGACCGATTTCAGACCACCAACCGAGCGAGGGGCCACATTGCCAAACCAGCATCAGGCAGGCGGGCAGGCAGGCAGGTAGGTGCGCATCACCAACCGACAAACGAAATTTAAACAGCAAAATGGGCGGCAGTTAGGGAAAAGGCGGTTGTCCTTTACCAGCAAGAAGGTCGTGGTAGTCTGGGTGCCAACAATATAAGGCATGTTTGCGAAGTGCACCCTTGAAGCGCTTTCCATCTTTCCGGCACAAAATTTCTAGAAACAGATGAAGACGACAAGCGTCAGAAATCTCGGGATGGCTCAGCGACAGAGGCAGCGGGAGCTGCGAAACCCACCATGACGAGCGAGCTCCTTAAGAAGAGCCTTGCTGGCGTGCTTGGACTGAAGGTGGCCTCCCAGCCAGGCTTTGATGTTTGCTCCAGTCATATATCCCTCCTCCATGGGAATGCCCACCGCCGCCGTGCGCATTCGCCGCACGGCATTCAGCAGCTCCAAGGAAGCCATTTCAAATTTACGCGCCAAAGATAAATCTGTATCAAACCACCATCAAAAACAACCCAATTCCAATACCCATCCCCACACCAAGACTTCCAAGCAGAGCTGGACTCGGCAGTAAACCGTGTCATTTGTCTGACTTTACCGTCAGGTAAAGTGTGATTAATTTCACTGTATGCCAGCGCTGGTATTTCTCTGTTTCTTTTTCCTTTTTTATTGTGCACCGCCCCTCTCTCTCTCATCTCTCGTCTCTCTCGTCTCTCGCTCTCTCGTCGCTCTCTCACCTCCTCGCTCTCTCGATCTGATTCGATTTGATTCAATCGGTGGGGAGGTGGCGGTGGGACTCGATTTCAACCTGCAAGCAGGGTTGAAAGGGGCTGGGCAGGACTCTTCCTGGCGCATTATTTGCTTGGTGGTAAGTGGCAGATTTCGTGCGGGCGGCGGACCAGCTGCAAAGCCGAGGTTTGGCAGCGCACCTGAGCAAAGGGTCAGTGGGCGGCAAAGAGGCAAAACAAGGCGCTCTTTGGGAGCCTCTTTGAGACCTTTGAACATAACGTATGGATTGCGTGCTTCTCTTGAAACTTTGCAGCTTGGCGGAGCCAACAGGTTGATATTTGCCCGTGTGCCACCTCCACGAACTGGCAGCAATCAGCCCTCTCATTGGTGGTGGCAGACATTGGGCTGTGGTCGCGAGTGGATCGACTAGCCACATGAGGTGACGGGTCCAGTTGATCAGCTTTGAATTTTGCTCCTGTGCTTGGGCGCCGCACCATCTATCATGGCGCCCGTTCAAACCTTCAAGGCCCTCTACGACTTTAAGGCGCACGAGGAGGATGAGCTCGAGTTGACCGAGGGCGATGTGATCGATGTTAGCGTCATCCACGAAGGTGTGGCCCTTGCCCCTGCGCCCTCACGCTCGCTGCATTAAACTCCTCATGACCCATGGCCCTGTGCAATCGCTGGCGGCTCTCACACCTGTATGCCCCCTTCCTTCTTCCGCTCCCTCCTTTTTCTGTCATCTTTCCTTGACCCGATGATCTGCTCTGTAGGGGAATGGGGTGTGGGTGTATCACGCCGCACCCAGAAAGAGGGCCTCTTCCCCTGGTCATATGTGGAGCGCTACACCTCCTCCCAGCAACAGCACCAGTTTGAGCTCATCACCGTCGAACAGCCAACCATGTGCTGGCACACCAGAGAATTCATCTGGGGCATTGAAGGCAAAGAAGAAGCTTACCGTTGCACTGGTATGATGTGCCCAGCCTTCACACACACACACACTCTCTCTCTCTCCCTCTCTCTCCCTCTCTCTCCCTCTCTCTCCCTCTCCCTCTCTCTCTCTCTCTCTCTCAACTTTGTGCCTGTCGGGTTTGGCTCCTTTCGTTGGTTTGTGGGTTTTGCTTAGTGTGTGGCTTTACGTGTCAAAAGCGTTCGCGCTTCTTCGTGGAGAACGATCGGGCCTATGAATGCGTGCGCTCGGGCCGCCCACCCGTTCAGCCCATCACCAAGCCCCTTCCAAAATGGGGCATTCCAGATGTACAGCTGTTCTTGCTCGCTGCCAAGCTCGAGTTGTACGAGCAGCTCTTTGTCAATGGCAAGATTGATGGCAGCAAGCTGTTGACCTTGAATCATCGCAAGCTGCAGGCACTCGGCGTTGAGGATACCCTTCACCGCCGGATGATCCTGTCATGCATTGAAGAGCTTCGCACGGGTAAAACCAAGACCACCGAAAACTCGTTTGTCCAGCGCTGCAATATCGCGCGCACCGAGCAGCTTGATCCCGTTCAGCAGATGGACTACTTACCCGTACGTTGTTCTTGTGCAAAGCATCGCCCTCCGCCCATGCCCTCTGATTCAACTCGTTGCGTCATCTTGTCGCCCTCATGACGTGCATGCAACCAATTTTAAAGATCAAAGTACCGATGGAGGAGACTCGCACCATCAAGGACCACCAGTTTAAGCTGAAGAGTTTTGCCAACATGACGTGGTGTGACTACAGCCGCAAGCTACTTTTTGGCATTGAGCGCCAGGGTCTGCAGTGCAGCACTTGCGGCTACACCGTCAGCGCCGCATATCTGGATGAAGTGCCCTCATGTCGCGAGGATAAACGCTTTCCCGTCAATGCCATTCCGGCCGGTGTTGATGTGGGCCATGTGTTTGGTGTGCCCGTGGAGGCCCAAACACTGGGTGGCCACCAGGCACCTCCTGTCGTTGAAAAATGCATTGCCGCGATTGAGAACGGCAAAGGCATGAAAACCACGGTGCGTCTTCGTACACCTCGTCCCTGTTCAAGCATTTAAAGATCTCAGGCCCTGTCCCGTAAAGTGTTGCGCGTCTCCTCTCTCATGCCCCTGTTCTCTGATGACCGCACACTGGGCCCGACAGGATTTACACAAAAAGCTGGCCTCTGCCGATAAGCTACGCACCCTTCAGTCAGAGCTGTTTACAAATGCTGACGTGCGTCGACTTTTTGGGTTGTTGTTTTTTTTTTTTGTTTTTTTTTTTGTTTTTTTTTTGGTTCTCTTTGGCTGTCTCTTTGTTTGTTTGGCGCATGGCTTGCAGGCATGAGTTGTGAGCTTGCTGTGCTGGCCACCCCCCGCACAAACTCATGGCGGCTCGATCATCAACCTTGATAGGCTTCTTTGGAGGGACGCGATCCCCATTTGCTGACCACGTTGCTCAAGCGTTACTTTGCTGAGCTGCCCGACTCGCTGATTCCCGGCGAGTGGTATGACCGCACGATTGCAGCTGCATCACTCCCTACCGAGGAGGAACAGGTGGCCGAACTTGACCGCGTCATGAGCAACATCAAGGGGGCCACGGCCACAACCCTCTCGTACCTGCTTGGACATTTGGGCCGGTACGAAGCGCTCCTGCGCCAGCCTCCCACACAAAACTCTGGGCTTGGCTTGCTGGGTTGATGAAAGGCTATTTTTCTCTGTGACATTTGTCCGACATGCAACCATTTCCATCATGGGTGAAGGCACGGGAAGCAAGGGGGTATTGAGACCTTGCCACAGGGGTTGGCTCTGTATTCTTGATGCTGATGGCGTGGGCTTGACTTTGGATTTTGTTTGCCACAGGGTTATTGCCAATCACAAGAGCACAAAAATGGATGCAGTGTCCGTGGCTGAAGCCTGGGGCCCCATCTTGCTGCGGCCCAAGCCTTCCGAGTCAGCCAAAGCAGTGGCGGATCGTCAAATCCAGGTCAACGCTGTTCGCCTCTTGATCGGTGTCTGCAAAATTGGTGGTGTTCCCACGACCGCATCGGGCGCCGCGCCCCCTCTCATGCCTCGCCGACAAAAGAGCATGAAGCGCTCCAGCAATGCCGGTCCGCAGTCCAACTACGAGAATATTAATCTGCCTCGTTCCAGCACTCGACATGCGGCCACTGCCCCTTCGCTGCCGCCAAAGCCCGCGGAGAAGATTTACGAACCCGTCAACTTGAGCATGCGAAATAAGACGGTGAACATGACCAAGGAACCTTGGTTTGCTGGCAATGTCAACCGTGTGCAGGCCGAGAAAATGCTTGCAGGCTTGGTCGATGGCTCCTTCTTGGTGCGCTCGAGCCAGTCTCGCAAGGGCTTTTCCCTCACGGTCAAGTTCCGGGAGATTCGGCATATTGTTCTGCTTGAGGCCAACGGCAAGTATGGTTTCTCACGCGAGTCATGTGATTTTAAGACCATTGCTGAACTGGTGCGTCACTTTGAGAAAGAGACTTTGGCCAAGTACAACGCCGAACTGGAAACGACGCTCGCCTACCCGTACAAGCAGGCGCCGCAAGCTGGTGCTGGGGACTACGACTACGATGACGGACCCGACGAGGACATCTACGTTAGCAACGTGTCCGAGCTGCGCAAAAAGGTCAAGCGGCGCCAAGCCGACTGGCGCCATGGCATGGATGCACAGCGCGTGGCTCACTTTGACAAGCAGATGAAGGACCTGCAACGCCGACTCAAAGCACAGCAGCTGTTTAAGAAGATGCTGGAGGAACATTTGAAATTCAATCAGACTGCGCAAGAACACGCCTCAGACAAGGACCGCACTGTGGTGATTGAGCACTTTTATCAGCTGCGCACCATGGTGGCTGATGCGGATAAAAAGGAGCAGGTGATTGCAGACGAGCTGGCTGCTGTGGCGCAGGAGGACGCACAGTTTCGCGCTCAGGCCGAGGAGCGCTTGGCGGAGGAGCCTGAGGAAGCAGCGGGTTTGCCTCGCTCGGAGCCACCGCGCATGACACCCTCGCGCAGCATCTCGGGCATTGGAGGAAGCTCGGGTGATGATCTGCCCTCTGAATATTTTGTGGGCTCAATGAGCCGCCAGGAGGCTGGCGCTGCCCTTGCCATGGAGCCGCCAGGCACTTTCTTGATTCGCCGCAGCGACCGACCTGACAAGCCCTACTCGCTCTCACTCAAGTGCGTTTGAATGGCAACAGTTGTCAGAGTGTGCTTGGTTCTTTGGGAAAGGGGGAGTTGCTGTTGTTGGCTTGCTTGTTTGTTTGCTTCAGCTGCTCATGTGCTCGCGTTTGCAGGTACGGTAGCGAGATTAAGCATATTCAGATCAAGTTCAACGGGGCACATTATGGTTTGGCCGAGCCCCTGGCCTTTCCCACAGTGATGGTGCGTACCCTGACCCCCGACCGAGCGAGGCAGTCAAGGCAGCAGGGGTGGAAGGTTTTGGGTGTCCCACCTCGGCGTGTCGAGCCTTGGCTTTGCTCTTTTTGTTGCTTCGTGACGTGATACCTGCCTGCTCTCATGGGAGCTGGGATGACCGGCCTGTTCATGGGGTAGAAACTTGTTGAGTATTATCAGCAACAGGATTTGTCGGCCTCAATTGCCACGGTGCTGGTCCGAGGCATCAACGACGTGCAGTGAGCTTTTTCTTAGGAACTACGCCCAGCTCATACAAAGAGACATGCTACTTTGCAATGCCCTGAACCGTTGCAAAGCGCGTCACTCCTTGCCGTTGCCGATGGGTGTGGCCGACTTTAAAGGAAGGAGTTGCACGATGCGTTTAGTTTGTGCGTCTTGATTTCTAGTCTGTGTTGCCCAGGCGCCTGCTATCCTTGGTTTTTGTCAACAACCTTGTTTTGTTTGTATGTTTGGTTGTATGCTGTTTTCCTGTCGCATATAATAGCGTTGTGTATGTCCCCCTGTCCGTGGTGTCGCGCGTGCTTGTGGGTGAACGGAGCGCCTGTTACCCTGCACATTCCCTTTGTGCTTGTTAAGACATTTTGCTTGCCAGCGTGGGCAAACGCGCGCATGGTTCTCAAGTCGACAATCATTGTTCCCATCTTAAAACTGTGCAGTTGTGTCGACTGGGGGCAAATTGAGACCAGTGAGGTTGCAATGAGGTTGTCATGCCAGTGTGAACACCATCATCAAAAATGCGGGAATATTCTTGTATTTTCGCGACATTTTTATCTAATTTTTGGTGAGGTCCATTTTGGCTCCACATGTCTCGGTACATCCCCGGAGACGTTTACTGTTGCTCACAGGCGATGGCTCTAGCCAGGGGCTACTAACGACCGTATCGGTGGGCCCTTGTGTGTTGTTATTGTTCGTGTTTGTAGGTACTTGATCAACTAAAATATGGCTGTTCGTTGTAGTGGGATGGTGGGCAGAAGTGGATTGCGCTGCGGTCCGAGCCCTGTCAGGGTTTGGCTGTGAAATTGAGATGTATTGGAAAGCTATTCCAAATGTGACACTGCATGTAGACATGCAGGGCCTCGACATACAGTGCCGTCAGTAGGTGGCCAAGTAATCAGGTTCTTCAGGTTCTTGGTCGCTTTGAGTGCAGGTGATCTCATGGGAGTAGCGAAACAGTTCGAAGGGAAGCGCGCTACTCAGCAAATCAAAAGAAACTGAATTCGGACACAGTTCAGGACATCCTTCTTTTTTAAATCGGCGCACAACGCCCAGTTCAATTCAACAAAACACGACACCATCTCACACTCTACCACATGCAGGGCAACCCTCGCGTCAAGACACCCCTTGCTGCTTGGCTCAGCTGGTGCACAATGAGATACATGATCAGGGCAAGTTTATAACCGCTTTAGACAGGCATCCAGCCCGTGCTCTTCATACTCGGCACGGGTCACAAAGGCCTCAGCGCGACAAGCTGTTGCACTTGCAACGAGCGAGCCACCAAGCCAGGCAGCATGATGCCGAGCGGCAGTGGCTTCGCAGGCAACGAGTGGTTGAAGGTTCCCCACCACGGGGATGTGGGTCAGTTCCAGGGTGAGGCGATCGGCAAGACCAGGCATCTGCGAGGCACCACCGCAGCCCAAGACCAGAGACGGAAGGGAGCGAAGACGCCACTGCTTGGGCTCGCAACAAAAGGCGGCGGAGCTCGCCAGGGCCTCGTGGAGTCCTGGCTCACGAACGCCGGCCATGCCTGGATGTAGCAGCAGCTCGGCACAGCGCAAGAGGTCCTCGGCGGCGTCCACTTGATGTCCATCAGGTAGCTGCAGAATCTCGCTGCGTAGGGGACGATGCCGAATGTCGTGCAGTTCGTACTCGTATTGAAGAGCGGTACGGCAATGCTGCAATTTGAGCCCCTCGGCCACGGATTCAGAGACCTTGCGGCTTCGCTCTTGGAGAGCAGTCTGGAGCATGTGAGTTTGCTGTTGACCGCCCACGCGAATATGACAGAATGACTCCGGTTCGACAAAGCCCTCGACAACCACAGCCGTACGGGTTGAGTACGCGCCAGCATCAAAGATCAAGCCTGAGGTCCGACCAAACGCATAGCAGTTGGCGGCCAAATCATTGAGAAGGCCGAGCGCAGGGGCCTGGATCACCTCGAGCACAGCCTCGAGGTAGTGACGCCGCTGTGTTTGGGCATCGGGTCCTGCACGATCAACGACCAACAGAGGCTGCGCGCGGGGGGAAGCTTGCAGGCCCCCGTGGGTGGCTGTGAGAATCAAGTTGCTCAAGTCTTCAGTCTCGAGCAGACGACCCTCCTTCAGGGCTTTGGCTGACGCCGATCCAAGGAGGTCAGCATCGCGCTGAATACACTGTGGCTGTGCTGCACCGGCCCAGCCCACGCGCGCGTTGAGCGAGCCCACATTGAGCACGATGGTGTCTTGATCATCCATGCTGCTGCACGAGCTCCTTGGCGCTCAGGCACGGGGGTGCTGGTGCCGGTGCCGGTCAGTTTCAGTGCTCTCCCACCTTGTTGCAGTCCAACACACGCCCCGATTACCCGCTAAAGGACACCCACGGCCCTCCCCACTTTTTCCAAGCCGAATCGTTTGCCTCTCCGCACCAGCGCTGCGTTGCCCTTGTACCGTGCGCGCCAGAATAATAATAATGAGCGAGAGAGAGAGTGAGAGAGAGAGAGAGAGATGTGTGAGAGAGAAAGAGAGAGAGAGAGTTAACGGTAGCAGCAACGATGAATAAGATCACATTCCGAAACTAGTTGAAACAGCTGTTGTGACCAGTTCACTGTGGCCAAAGTAAGAGAGAGGGAGAGAGAGAAAAGCATAGCAGCAAAGGCAGAGAGAGAGAGAGAGAGAGAGAGAGTTGGTGAAAAAAAGAAAGGCATAAACAGCAAAGAGAGAGAGAGTTGCTCGTTTGTGTCTTGACGCAGCATTTGGCAGGAGGCAGCGGCGGGAGTCAAGTCGAGTCGAGTCCTCTCTGAGCTATTGGCTGGTTGAGAGCAGAGCTATCGGGCGAGCAAAAGTTGACACGCGCATCTGGTTGGTTGAGGGAAGCAGTGGTGTGGTCGTTGTCTGGCGACACTTGAGTGCACGCGGCGGAAACATACGCCACACTTGGCTTGACGGTAGCTCACTGGCCGGCTGTTTCTGCCCTGCCTTGCTGCAGACTCGGCGAGCCATTTTTGGTGTCGAGGCCTCCCGGCATCATGTCCGAGGCCATGGAAACCACGCCCGAGCAAGAACCCGTAACCGAGCAGCAGACCAGCGCTGCTGCCGAGGAGGAGACGAGCGCGTCTGCCGAGGGTCCGAAAGAGCGCTTTGTCGTGAAGAAGGTACAACCTCACCTTGCCTCCGCTCCGAAGCTTTGCAACTAGCCCGGCTTGCACTCCCAGCCTCATTTTGTCGACGACATCTCCTCTTGCAATCATCTCATGTCACATCGTGCTGCATTGAGCGTAGTGGAATGCAGTTGCCCTCTGGCACTGGGACATTGTTGTCGACAATTGTGCCATCTGCCGCAATCACATTATGGACCTCTGTATGTCAGCGTGCACCCATTGGCGGGAATGACTCGCCCCGAAGGAGGGCGTTGGTCTCAAGCGGGTAGATCAAGTAACGGGTCAAACGTGCGCAAGCAGTTGCAAGGGCGCTTCAAGGCGCTCTGGCCTGCCCACGCTCACAACCAGTTTGCCCTGCTTTAGGCATCGAATGCCAAGCAAATCAGGCCTCAGTCACGAGCGAGGAATGCACAGTCGCGTGGGGCGTATGCAACGTGAGTGACCTGCTGCTGACCTTAAATGCTTGGTGCAGGACATTCATCGTGAACGTGCGCCTCCTCTGTTCCTCTCTCACTCGTCTTTGTATCTGCACAGCACGCCTTTCATTTCCACTGCATCTCGCGCTGGCTCAAGACGAGACAAGTGTGCCCCTTGGACAATCGTGACTGGGAGTTCCAAAAGTCCGTCACCTGTCTTCTCACATGCACACGTGGCTCTTGACCCTGCGCATGGATTTGTTGCTCACATATGCTCACCCATTTCGGGGCGGCGCTGGTTTAGGTACGGTCGGTAAATGATCCAGTCACTTGTTCTAAAAAATACCCGTCGTATGTCGGGGCTTGGCGCGCACATTGGCCTGGCCTCGGCCAATCGTCGTTCTTGCTCGTCCCTGTGTGTTTTGAGGCGCGTGTAGTTTACAACACACACAAAAGCGACAGTGTGTGTGTGTTTTTTTCCGAGCCTCCCCCGTGTTTCTTGTGCGTCTTCTCATCCCCGTCGCTGTTCTTCCTGGTGGTGAAGTTCTTCCAAGTCTGCCCGTGGCCCTTTCATCTTGCCTTCTTCTTTCCCTTTTGTTTGTTGCTGATCAAGCTGCGTTCCCGGCTCCTGTGCCCTTGCAAAAGGAATTCATTCAGTGCTACAAACGCTGACCTTGTGCATGACCTTCCAAGCTCCACCAACACTTGATTTATCACGTTCCAGTTGGAGTATCAGTGTACCTATTAAAAGGCTCTATTTTGCATTACACTCCTGGGGCCTCAGACTCGGATCCCCATCTGGACCAGCCAGAAAAGCACAGCTTTTGCGGGTATACAAAGCTCTGTCTGAGCCCCCTCTTTGCGGCGGCCCGTCTCAATGCCTGTCAATCGCACTGATGGGTCGCAATGGTTTCTTCTGACCCAACCAGAGCCGCGATGGCCGTTTCAGTTCGGCGCAGGAGCGGGGTGGGGTCAAAGCCTGCTTGACCACCACTCGAGCGAAGCATCAACTGATACATTCGAATCATGGTGTGCCGCGCCCGCGCAACGTTCACTGTCGCCTGCAACTCGGGCTGGTATAACAAGCATCAGCATCCAGGGCGCGTGAGCCAAGCCGGCACACAGGCATACAAAGCCGCTGGTCATGGTTGGCCGGGTGCTTGGTGGCGCAGATTGGGCCGCGGTTGGCGTACAAACGGACCTGGGTGGCGAGCGACAACGTCATCTGGCCCAGGGCCTTGACGACGGCGAGCAGGCAGGGTAGAAAATCGATAGGATCAGCCAGAGCGAGCTCGTAGATGCCCGCACCATCATAGCTCAAGGCGCGGAGAAAGAGAAGGCCGATCAAAGGGGCGGGGATGGCGGTGCGCCCGTGACGGCTCGCCAAAGACGTGGGCAGGGCGAGCAGGGTCATGGTGAGTGCCACGAGTCGATCGTCTTCGACCACAAAGTCTTCCAAAAGTGAGGCCACGCGCGCCAAGGGTGAGCGCGTGTCGACGTGAGTCCCGTTCAAAGGGGGCTTAAGCCGTGTCAGACCCAGGTGCTGGGCCAAAGTCGAGGCCGTCTCTGGCAGTGGGAGGATGGCTGGCTGGTGCCACGCGGTCAAGGCTAGTTGTTGAAGGCGGCGGCAACAGGTCGCGCGGGCGCGTTCAATGTCTGGGTGAGAGGCGGCAGGCGCACTGTTGGAGGAAGTTGGCAAAGCCAGTCGTTTGGCTTGCTTGGCGGGGCGTTGGGCCAAGGACGAGTCTGGGGTCGGCAGGGCTAGAAGCTCACGGAGGAGCAGGCAGCAGAGGCGGTCGGCGGAGACGAGGCTGGTGGCCGCGTTTGCGTTGGGTAGGCCCATGAGGGTAGGAATCAGCACCGTGAGGGTTGTGGTCCACTTGGTCCAGGCAGACCAGGTCAGAAGGGCTGATGCAGCGTTGGATTCCAGGCTGCTGACCAAAGCAGCAAGGCATGGGCAGAGTGCCGAGATCAGGAGGTCCCAGGAACGGACGCGCGTGGGTTTATCTTGTTCTGGTGGTTGGCGACGCGCAGCAAACTTGAGAAGCCGGGCTAGTGCATAGTGAAGCCGGTTCCGAGTCTCAACAGTCTCCACCCGCAATGCTGCCTGTGGAGCGGGAGGTGATATTTTGGTACGCATAAGAGGAGGTGGGGGAAGGGATCAATATTGATCACCACGCCAAGCCGGGGTTCAACAAACCGTGGCAAGCCGCAGCAGAGGCACCAAGTGACGATCGGGCTCCGGAGAGTAGGCGCCGACCTTGGCATCGTCCGCCATCACCTCGGCCAGCGCGGTTGCCGCATCGGCGTCCAAATCAGCCCAGCTGGTCTGCCGGCGGGGAATGATCGATCAATACAAGCAGCTGGGGTGCGCAATGGGGAAACAATAGCAAAGCCAAGCATTCCAACCTGATCATAGCGCGCGCGACGTTCATTGAGGCTCTCATGGACAAGGTTCACCGCCAGAGCGGCGGGGCCCAGCAGTGTCTCAAGCTGAGAGGCGAAAGCATGACTGTCCGAGTCAGCCATGAGCCCGGTTTGCAAAATTTCAGCCCAATATCATTCCCCTGCTTCTCCTTCCATCCCCCCTTCTTTTTTTGAACGTGATTTCTCTGTTTTCAGCTTTTCCCTGATGTCTCCACCTCAAGCGCCCCGTTTGCCCGCCCAGCGCTTAAAGTCTGGGTCCCCCGATGCAGGCCAATTGGGCCGGGTGGGCGGGGAGGGGGGCGGGGGCGAACAAGTGGTCAGTCAGCGCCCGGTCTGCATCGCTCGCTCGCACAATTTGTCTGACAACCATGTTTTATCTGACAACACCGGAAAACGACCGCTACCAGGCGTCAGGCGCGAAGTTCGTCGGCGGGGGGGTCAGTTTATATGAATCCAGGGTCAGAACTACAGAGTGACACGTCAGAAGCGCTTCTCCGCTTCTTTGGGTTTCCTTCAGAGAGAGAGAGCAAGGCACCGTTGAGTGTTTGAGTGTCAACGTGGAAGTTTCTGTGTGTCATGAAACTGCTGGAAAAAGATCGCTCCTCAAAACAAAAGCAAAAAAGAGAGAAAGAGAGAGAGAGAGAGGCGACCATGTGTGTGTGTGAAGAGAGAGGGAGGCGAGTATCAGTGGGCGGCGCCATTTTTGAGCTTCACTGAACAGGTGCGAGAACTGGTGGGAGATCGGCTGCCGTTTGGCTCGGCTGCCTACGCCCCCACCCCGCCCTGCCCTTTTATGTGTCGTGATCGCGTATGGGAGAAAGGGGGCTCTGCCACTTGCTCGTCTCGAGCTACCCTTTCCTTGGTCGTGATGATGGTGATGGGCGGGGAGGGACTGTGGAGGAAAGGGCACAGCTTGCTCGCAGATCGCCTGATGGCACTTGAGCCTTGTTTTTGGAGATCTTTTCGTTTGGTTTTCTGGCAAGGCATCGCATCACTCACTGTTTGCACCATGTTATTCATTCCATAGCCAACATGCGTGTTCTTGCTGCCATCCTCGCGGTTGTTGCCGTGGCCTCGGCCACCGTCTACTTTGACGAGAAGTTTGACGCCGGTTGGGAAGACCGCTGGGTTCAGTCCGAGGCCAAGTCTGACTATGGCAAGTTCAAGCTCTCGGCCGGCAAGTTCTACGCCGACGCTGAGGATGATCAGGGTATGTTCCTCGTCGCCAGTGGCATACATTTGTCGAGATTGATGACCTTTGACCTCATCACCGCGAGCGGAGCAAGAATAGTATCGACTCTTGGGTGAAAATCACTGATCTCATTCCTGCACCTTGCTGATTTCGCTTGTTGATTGGTGTGCTCAGGTATTCAGACCAGCCAGGATGCCAAGTTCTACGCTCTGGCTGCCAAGCACGATGACTTCAACAACGAGGGCAAGGACATGATCGTTCAGGTGTGTGCCAGTTGAGGGTGATGCCTCAGTTTTGATGCTTGACCCTGCCACGTCAAACACGGCACGCTCACCGTACATGCGATCTCGCCTTGCTTGGGGCCAATGGCTGGCGTCGTTCTCCATGCATGATTAGTTTATTGTCAAGCACGAGCAGAACATTGACTGCGGTGGTGGCTACGTCAAGATGTTCCCCGCCTCTCAGGACCCCGCCAAGATGGACGGCGAGTCGCCCTACAACATCATGTTCGGTCCCGATATCTGCGGTCCAGGCACCCGCAAGGTCCACGTCATCTTCGCCCACAACGGCGAGAACAAGCAGGTCAAGAAGACCATTCCCTGCAAGTTCGACGAGCAATCTCACCTCTACACCCTCATTGTCCGCGCCGACAACACCTACGAGGTCCGCATTGATGGCGAGAAGGTTGAGTCTGGCAGCATCGAGGAGGACTTTGACATGCTGGCCCCCAAGGAGATCAACGACCCCGCCGTCTCCAAGCCTGCCGACTGGGTTGATGCCAAGCAGATCCCTGACCCCACCGACGAGAAGCCCGCTGACTGGGACAAGCCCGAGACCATTGCCGACCCTGATGCTGAGAAGCCCGAGGACTGGGATGATGAGATGGACGGCGAGTGGGAGGCTCCCAGCATCCCCAACCCCGAGTACAAGGGCGAGTGGAGCCCCAAGATGATTGACAATCCCGAGTACAAGGGCGAGTGGGTCCACCCCCGCATCCCCAACCCCGACTACGTTGCTGATGACAAGCTCTACCAGTACGACAGCTTTGGCGTCATTGGCTTCGACCTCTGGCAAGTCAAGTCGGGCACCGTCTTCGACAACGTCCTCATCACCGATGATATTGCCGTTGCCGAGGCCGCTGCCGAGGCCTTCCAGACCCGCGTGGAGGGTGAGCTGGCCATGCGCAAGGCTTACGATGACAAGAAGGCTGAGGAGGCTGCTGCCGCCGCTGCCGCTGAGGCCGAGGCTGAGGATGACGACGAGGATACCAAGGATGAGCTCTAAGCTTGTTCCCAATTTTTTTTAAACTTCCGTTTCCCACCTGATTTTTTTTTCAAATTCAAACACGTATCTGATACTGCACGAACCTCTGTCTTTAATCTGCGCATCATCACCATTTGACGCGTTGTGGAGGAAAGCAGTTGCTTTATCATTCCGATGAAGCTGACAATCCCTGTCTTCACAGATGTACACCCCGTTCAAAGTCAGCCGCCTCCAAGCCCCTTCACCTCTCTTTGCTCCTTTGTACCACAATTTGGTCGACAAATCTTTCCCGCCCAAAGAACTGTACAACGCCATGTCCATGCAGCACAAATTCCGATTTTCAAGTTGAGGGGGGCGAGGTGACTGTCCTGTGGCCTTGCTTGAGTATTTCTGTGAAATGTGTTTGGTCTTGTGCGCAAAGTACTTGGCGTCCTTGCAACGTGAATGATGGCTCACTTGACGATCAAGCCAGCCACTGCACCCGTCTCGGGCAGAGAGGGTCGGTTCTCCTGTTGGGGGTCGTGCGGCAAGAATTGTGGACGTTCCTCCCCGGTTGCCAAAGAAAATGACAGTGCCGCTGTCAATGCCTGCACCGACCAGATTGCGACCCACCAGCGAGTTTCAGCCCTGACCGACGACGAGCAGCGGCACCCCTTGTCTCCTACCACGACTGCAAATGCACTCGGGTTTGCTTCGCCTCCAACGTTGCTGGATTTACCCATCGAGCTTTGGGACCGCATTTTAGCACACCTACGGCCTTGTGACGCTGGGCAGCTAGCTTCAACTTGCCGCTTGGCCTGCGAGCGTGTACGCAACTCAGCTTGGCCCTGGCGTGCCATTGACGTCTTCTTGCACGGGCCCGAGCAGCACTTTTATGGCACACAGCGCTTGCTCGCGGCCTGGCCCCGTGTGCGTTTTATTTTCAAAGCTCGACAAGTCTCATTTGCGGATCGTCTCGGGGACGATCGAGGGCGCTTTGGTCTTGGTATGCTGCGCGCCTGGCTTGAGCTGGCACAAGCGCCCAACGTCGTGGGACTGGATCTTACGCTTACATCTGTACCAGCGCGAGTTGAGGCTGAGCCAGCATGGTCTGCCTTGCTGCAGCGCGTTGAGCTTGGTTTCATGGCCAACAGTTTGGTTCGGGAGCACTTGCCGGCTTTGGCACACCTGGTGTTTGTGGACTTGAGCTATAGTCATCGCCTGACCACCCTTGCACCGTTGGCGCGGGTGGACCAGGTCGTCGCCGCGCACTGTCCTAATCTACGTAGCGTCGAAGGCCTGGCCTGTAGCTATCTCAATGTTCGGCGCTGCTTTCGGCTTCATCGGCTGGCCAACCTGCCTCAATGCCGGCACCTCGACGCACGGACATGCCTCGGCTTGTTCGACCTGGGCCCCAACATTGGTATGACACACCGGCTTGCCGCTTGAGGGAAGTGGTTCGATCGTGTCCACAGGCTCACGTGGTGGCTCGTGTCTGTAGGCCACAGCGACACAGTTGTCATCCTGGCCGACTGTGTACAAGTTCAGGACGTGCGATCTTTGCGTCACGTGAAATCTCTTGACATCTCAGGCATCCCCGGCCCCATTCGCGGGCTTGAAGCGCTCCGCCGTTTGCCCGAGTCCGCATGCTGACAATTAACGATTTGTCAGCATGTCATATTTCGCGAGTTCGAAGGGGAGTTGTGGCAAAACCTGTGTGTTTGTGTTCGTTTGGTCGTGTGAGAGTGGAATCAAAAGCCAGGCATGACGAAGAAGCAGATGATGATGTCGAGCAGATTGTTTGGGCCTCACACATCATCAAGCCAGCAGTCATCGTCGAGGACGGAGCCCAAAGGACAGTAGAAGATATGCAGCACCAACATCACAAGACTGGTGCAACACGAGAATTGAACAAGTCAAGAAGGGGGACGATGAGCGCCACGCAGTCAACAAAAGCGTACAAAGTCTGAACACAAGCTAAAGTCTGATCATGGATCAACGCCCAAGAGCATGTCATGCGCCAAGCACTTCCTTGAGATAGGCCTGCACTTCAGGATAAATCTTATTTGTTTCCGTGCCCTAGAGGTCCAACAATCATGAGAAGTCTGGCTTTACTGGCACTCAAACAGGCAAAACAAGCCACACGTGAAGTCAACAACAACAAAGATGCCAGTTGACGCCGGCAAAGCATACCGAGAAGGTCACGACGCGGTCACCATAATAGTTGATGATGGGTGCTGTAGAGCGTGCGTACTCTGCTAGGCGTGCTCGCACCGTCTCCGGCTATCGAAGCAGTTACAAAGCCTGGTCAGCCCTAGCCCATGGCGATTGGGGCGAGCAACCTTGGAACCGCGTGGTGGGGGCCTGGCTGCAGTCGAACCAGGGCACAAACCTCGTCATCAGCACGACGCACAAGCGGCTCGCCCGTCACATCGTCTTTGCCCTATGTGCCATGGAATTATAGAAGAAAGAACATCGATGAAAAAAGGAAGCTCACAGGTGGCAGCGGCCTGCGCTTGATGGACAAGCAGAGCGAACAAGTTGGGTCTAAACCCGAGCTGAAACCAACCTCGACCTTGGGGGGAGTAAATTGAAGGTTGTAGATGCGGCCAGAGCCGGGGTGGAAGAGGCGATCCTTGAGACGCTCGACAATGGTCTCACTGGGCACGTCAATGTTGAGGATCGCACGAGGGGCAACCACCTCCTCAAGACGCTCTGCCTGGGGAACAGTGCGAGGGAATCCATCCAGTACATAGTTGCCATCGGCCTGGTCGTTCAGGGTAGCCAAGACCAAGTCCACCACATCCTAAATTTTCCGGGTTGCCGTGGCACGTGAAGGCATATGTTGGAGGTTGGAGGTGGCACGCGCAAGTAATAGGTAAAGCTGGCACGTACATCGTCGGGTACCAGTCCACCCGCTTGGACAATGCTTTGCACTTTCTTGCCCAGCTGCAAGAGCGGCGTGTTGCTGAGCGGTCGGTGGGCCGTGACATACATGGATTGCACGAGGCAAGGGCCGGGGCCGGCGCTTCACCTACCTCTGTGCCTTCGCGGATGTGTTGTCGGATCATGTCGCCTGTTCCAAGGATGCGGAGGCCAAAGTCTGCTTCAAGGCGCTTGGCAATGGTGCCCTTGCCACCGCCTGTTGGGCATGAAAATCATCGTTGAGGGGCAGGTGAGGGGCACGTGGAGATTCTCGGCCGGGTGGGCCACTGTGTGTGCGACTGGCGTGCGGTACCAACCTGGCGGACCGCAGAGCACAAAGCCTTGACGAGCTGCCAGCATTGGGAGATGGCCGCCATCAGATCTGAATGAGCGAGAGCCAAAATGGTTTATCGGGCCGGGCGGCATCATGGACAGATTGCAGACTGACCTTGCGTGGACATGAAGCTCCGCTGCAGGGTGGCGCGAACGCCCAGAGTCAGACCGCGGCGCCACATGCTTGCAGTGGTGTTGTGTAGTCGTCGGAAGTGCCGTGCACCGGATAATTCAAGCCAGCAGAAGCGGGGGCAGAGACAACCCTCCTGTCGAACAAGTCGTTTGGCACGCGCTGGCACAGCACAGCAGAGCACAGAGAGAGAGAGAGAGAGTCTGATGACGAGGAAAATGGCGCCTCCCATGAACGGATGGGAGTGCGAGAAGAGAGAGAGATTGTAAGAGAGAGAGAGAGAGAGAGTTTGAGAGAGAGAGATTGAGAGAGAGAGAGAGAGAGATTGATTTTGAGAGACACCAAGAGCTTCATTCTATTTTGGCACGAACACACACATGATGAGAGTTCAAAACATCAACAAGAGTAGCGTTACGCGTTTGATGATGTGGGGTATGATGGGCAGCGGGTTCGAGGGAGAGCAGCAGTCTGGAGGAACAACGGGATTAGAATAGCCGTGTCAGCGAGTGTGAGCGGGTTTGAGCGGAACACCAGCTTCGGCGATACGCACTGCCATTTTGCTTGGGCATCGTCGCTCGGGACGCAGTCTTGATAAGGAGCCGTTCGCGACAACTTTAGGCAGGTTGATCCAAGTCGAAGGTTGATAGCTCAAGTGTAGCAAGATTCACACTTACATCCTTTCGTTCGTCTTTGGCAGGCGCGAGCACGTCAAGGTGTGCTGCAGTCACACTTTCTTTCCACACATGATGCGGTATCTGCGAATTTTGTTTCTTTGCCATGATGCAATCCGTTCGGAACAGCAAGGAGAACTGATAACAACTACTGTTATCAACAGCATCCTTACCGACCAAATGTCAGCCATTTCCACACACCGCAGGCTCACAACTGACCTGCCTGCTGCTGAACTTGAAATTCGAGTCAGACCCGCGCGCTGTGCTCACGCTTGCCCTCGCTGCAGGGGCAGGGACGCGCACACTCATCAGGGGTTGGATTTGACCGTCGTGAGATCCTGGACGATTGACGGTGTTGATGCACAGCTCTGCAGGCGCGTGCAGCGATCACAAGCATTATGGGCCGAAGTATGTGTCGGGTCATCTCCGGTGTCAGCTAGCTGCTCGACGGCGCGACAAGCTCATGCATGCCCGTATGCGTGCCCGGGGACGGCAACCAATAGTTACACTGGATTTGCTTCGCAAGCGTGCTGAGCACAACAACAAAGAGCTGTCCACCCTGGAGGAAGTCTCCTTGCATCAGGAAAATCTGGAGAAGTGGGTCGCTGCAACCTGCGAGTCTGTCGCGACGCCCGCTTGCAGGGCCTTTCTCAATTGGGGTGTTGGGTCCTAGGATCGAGCTTCTCGACACTGCCTGCCGCCAATTGCAAATTCTCTATCTACAAAACAACATTATCGGCAAAATTGGTCAGCTCACCACTGCCACCTGTCAGCTCTGCGACGTGTCTCGCTCCCATGGCGTCAGCTGCTGCCTGCCTCTCAGATCCTCATGAACGCACGACCTTCGCGTCGGCTGCGTCGTCTTGGTATGACCGCTGCAGAGAACCTTCAGCGCCTCAAGGAGCTCCGTTACATCAATCTCGCCCTGAATAACATTGTTCGCATTGAGGGCCTTCAAGGTCGGCCGGTGATCCTGCCACTCATCACGCCGTCTAGAGCGTCGCTGCTCCATCCGCTCTGCACCATCGTGTTGACGCAGGCTTGGCTTTGGTCGTTTTCCAACAGGGTGCGAATGCCTGGAAAAGGTGGACTTGACCGTCAACTTTATCACCGATGTCACAACGGTGACTTCTCTACGTGCCAACCGCAATCTCCGGGAACTGTGCGTTTGTCTCGTTGCCTTCCCGTCTCTGACTGGCCTGCTGTTCCATCCTGATCCACACGGGCAAACCAGAGCCTGTGTGCGCACGACTCTCATCATGATCATTGCTGAAAACGCTCGATCCCTGACCTGCTGTCATGCTCTTTCCTTCAGCTATCTGACTGGCAATCCCTGCACGCAATTCAAGGGCTACCGCGAGTATGTCATTTCAGTCCTTCCCCAGCTCCAGCTCCTGGACGGCAAGGCTGTCACGCGCTCGGAGCGCATTCTTGGTACGCAGCTAGCACTATCGCGCCTTTTGGTCCGCCAAACCAGCCGAGTGCCTTCTCGCCTCTTGCTAAATTATAGCTTTTGTCGTTTCAGCGCTTCAGGACTTTGAGCGCACTCAGAGCAGCATTCGAGCTGCCATTGCCGAGGTAGGGCGAGCGTGGCTCTTTCATTCTGATGATAGCGAGGAAAAAAAAAAAAAAAAAGAAGCAACATTCAAACTCTACTTCAAGACCGTCTGTTTTACCTCACTGGCCAGTCGCGTTTGTAGACTGGTGAACTGCCCGAAGTGACCACGACGGGCATCGATGATGATACCTGGGATCGTATGGCGTAAGGCGGGGACCTCTCATGCGGGCTGGGTTGTCAACAGGAGGGGGCTCAGTAAACGTATCGGATTGATAACCATGTGTGGTTTGCTTGCTTTCACTGGCAGGCGTGGCGAGGAGGTACCTGAGCTGTCTGATGAAGCCCAGAAGCAGTTTTGGGAGGAAGAGACAGAGCACACGCCTCAGGCCCGCTTCATGATGCAAAAGAAACAGGAGGCTTTTCAGCGCGCTGAAGACATGAAGCGCAATCCACCCCCACCTAAGAAGGAGCGGCGCTTTTTCCGTGGTATGTTGTTCGCGTGGTGCACTTTTGTTTTTCTCTTGGCACGCCGTCGCGATTTGAATGGCAGCCACAAAGGGACATGGAAACACCCATATCTCGGCGCCTTGACCAACTGAGCTCATTACTGGTTCTTAGACGATGGCACGCCCCTCAACATCAACGAGGGGGATTGGGACTTTCGCCTCTTGGGCCAAGAGTACGATAGCCAGGTGCGGCTAAGTCTTTTATCACACGTTGCAATGATGTCAACGTGCGCGTCTTGTTCGTGCTCAACCCTGCTGGTTGGTGTGGATTGGTCATAGGCACTAGAATTGGATTTCCCTTGCTACCGACATCTGGATACGTCGCAGCTCGAGGTGGATGTGCAGCCGTACCACGTGCGCGTGGTGGTCAAGGGTCGTGTGTTTCAGCTTCATCTGCCCGAAGAAGTCAAACCAGTACGAGCTGCAGGGTGGCGTCAAGCAACTGTTGGAATGAAATGTTCATGCCTCCCTTGCTCATGCTGAATGTGGCGCGTTGCTGCCGTGGTGCGTGTGTGCTAGGACTCAAGCTCCGCCAAGCGATCAATGGTGACGGGGCACTTGTTGATCAGCATGCCCAAGGTCAAACCCGTGCTGACGGCTCGGGCACGAACAGCGCGAGAGACCGCAGCGCCCGCATCCACCTCGAGTGCCAGCGCGTCCGATGCGCTGGCACCGGCCGTGGAACGCCTCGAGGTTGGTTGACTTGCCCCCATCAGGCTCGGGCTGTGTGCCACCTTTGAGGCTTGGAGCTTTGGGGAGGCCCACTCATCCGATTGTGGTTGCGGTTGTGGTGCTAGCTTGAGGAGGAAGAATCTTCATCGCGAATTCGTCTGGACAACATTGTGGACGAGGCGGAGCGTGCGGCCCGCAATAAGAAGCGGTCGACGCCCTTGATCCAAACCAAGGCTGACAAGCCCACAGGGCCGCGAGCCAATGACCCCGATTTCGTAGATGATGATGACGTGCCACCGTTGATGTAACAGCGGGCGGTTCTGCGTCTGCCGCCACACTCCAATTGCAGAACGCCGAGCGTTCAATTCACGCGCGCTTTGACAGGCCGCTTGCATGCGTTGACTCGCTTTTGTATGAATCAACTCTGCGCATGACACCAATCCTTGCTTTCCCAAACATGGTGCTTTCGGGTCGGTAGGCCCATTTGCCCTTTCTCTTTCGCCACGAGAGAGAGAGAGGTTGAAAGAGAAGCAGGGCAAAGCAAGAAAGGAGCCATAGGCCATCCATCCCACCAGAGCCAACTTTGGGCTGCAAGCCCAAGTGAGTCTTGGCCTCCACCCTACCCACAAAGGGCCTAGCCCGTGACACCCTGTACTTGTGGGGCCATGACCGGTTTTGCTTCCACGTGGATGACCGAGCTCAGTCGCCGTTTGGTGATTGGATGACAAAAAACATTGTTTTGATCAGCAACAATCAACCGCCCAACTGTTTGTGCAGACGCAGGACTCGCCATCGTCCAGCCTGCACGCCCCCCAGTAACGGTTTCGGCAAGCAAGCTGATGCAGTTATGCCGATGCCCTTGCTGCTTCCTCTTTGGAGGGTCAGCTGTCGTTTTGGATGTTCTTCAACTACGACTTTACATGTTAGTAGACAAGGTAACCGGCGTATCTTGGTCGTGGTTTCTTTTCAGCAGCATCAGTTCCCGCACCTTAAAAGTGGCATGAACCTTGTTGTTGTCATACCTGATCACCTCGAGCTTCACATGCCATTGGCCCCTAAGGGTACAAGGGCATGTTGTCGGACTGCTCCAGGGTGATACATCCAACCAACAAGTGGTCTGCGTGTGCAAGTTCTTGTTTCTGCAGCATGGTGACATCATTTGTGAGCGCCGTTCGCCACTGTGTGCATGTACCGTCGCCACGGCGCATCGGCGCATCTCCGCTTCGCCTCTCTTGTACCGTATATTCAATGCTTGCGGTCCAAAAAATTGCGGAATGACTTGAGGGTGTTGGGGCTGCCATTTGAGAGGCTTCTCAGCGGCCTCACAGCCCCGCTGCCATTTCTTTCTTAACGAGCTCTATCTCACACGTGGATAAACCATTCCTCACATGGTGTCCCATGTTGGTGTGGCTTGGCACCACAGGTTGCGAATTTGTCAAAAACCCACAAAACCTGAGTTTACATTTGCAGCAAGAACAAGCAGTAATAAGCAGTAATAAGCAGTCACAAGCAGGAACAAGCAGGAACAAGCAGGAACAAGGAGGAACAAGGAGGAACAAGCAGGAACATCAGCAAAATGCCGATGTGTGGGATTGCTAAACGAAATGGGTTAGGAGGAGACATCACACATGGATGCGGATTGCACCGGTCGTGGATGAAAGAGGAAGGGGCACCCTCCTTCCTCCTCACCCCGTTTCCGATTGCTGGGGTTGCCGCGTCAGACTCGACTGGCATTTTCGAGTTTTTCTTCGCGAGTCCGCCAGTCGTGCATCGCCATTATGCCCAGCAAAGCTGATATCTGTGTCATCTGCCTTGATTGGTCAGTCGTGGGCAGTCAGTCACCCCTCTGTCCTGCTTGATCTCATGTTGGAGGCAGACTGCCACTCATGCTTGTTTCTGGTTGTGCCCGCGTGGGGATGCGACGTCAGGCTGTACAATGGTCCCGGTTCCCTGCAGACGCGGCCAGTGGTCCAGCTGGCCGTATGTGCACATTACTTTCATCGCGAGTGTGTGGCTGAGTGGATGAGCGAGCATCACTCGTGTCCCACCTGTCGCTCGCACGCTGCCGTCACTCGGCTGGCCTGCACCTACTTTGGCCGCATCGCCCACCTGCCCAAAAGCGAAAATTCCGGTCAATTGCCCTCCTCCGTTCATGCCCTTCTTGACAGCATTGAGACGGCCCTTGCGGGCAGGTGCGTTCTCTGTTCTGGCCTGGTTTGCATACCCAGCTTCGCCATCGCCCGGAATCCGATCGCGTCTGTGCTGACCTCACGCTTGCCGGATCTGTAGTGATTTGCACGCCCACGAGCAGCACCAGCATGACTTGATCATCCGCCGCACCTGTGTCAGCATTGGCAAGGACAAAACCCGGCTAGAGCTGCCATTGACACGTCTTGTGGTAAGAGCTGGCCGCCTATTCAGCTCCCATCCGCTGTTGCCGGTCTTGCCTTTGAGCGGGGTTACAACATGGCTCGCCAGCTCACTCTCCGTTTCCGCGACTTCCAATGCACGTAGAGCTTTCACGTTAAGGACAACCTGGTCATTTTGGTTGAAGGCCCCGCGCTCGACGCGCTGGACAAGCGCAATGCCTGTCATCTCTTACTCCTGCCCAACATGGACAAGGCCCAGCTTTGCATGGATGTGCTGCTCAAGACGACTCGGGCTTTTGCCGAGCATCTAGCCACCCGGTCGGGTCCCAACAGGCCCCTCGCGGCCAGTCGCGAGAGCATCAACAGTGTCGACAGCACCGACAGCGCCGCGAGTGTCGACCCCACTCCAGAGCAACCTGCTCGGGTGGCTGGAACTCATCGCAACCGCTCGGTCAAGGCGTGATGGTTTATGCGTGCTGGCATGTCCAGTTGCAAACCGCTGCGCGGTTGCTTGCATGGCTACCTCATGTATCTTGTCCGTGGAAACGATTACCCTGAAAGGCGAGAGGCCTCTGTTCATTCTTGGAAGCCATGTCGAATATGTTTGTGCTTTCTTTTGCCGTGGCAGTCTGGGTCCGTCAGCGACGGCCAGGCTGTTTGCGAACCAGAAACTATTTTCAATCGAGCTTGTTCGTCCCTTTTTATCTTGGCGGGGCCTTTCTTTTCAGAACACCACATGTTGGCTTTTCACAGCCTTGGCCTCTGAGCGCGCACCATGGACCGTTGAGCCCGTAACGAGGACGCTAGTCCACAAACCGCCAGAACCCTGTCACGTGGGTCTGTCTGGTGTGTCTGATCCTTTGATTCTTCTTGCTGATACTTGTCACTTGATGATATCAAAACGGCTGCGGGGCTGCGGTTGCACCTGTGTAGTTGCATCACCCAAGAAGAACACACAAAGGGGCGAACAACCCTCAAGCCTTGCCTGTGACACTTGGTATTTGTCCAACATGCTTTCTCACGGTGCCATTCGGCGAGCCTCGGCCGTTTGGAGTTTGCTCACGACCCACAATGCCATTTAATGAAACCGAAAAGGGGGTTGGGAGACATCAGAGGTAGGTACTTCCATGGAAGTCCCCCCTGTCTCGCCCTATCTCACCCGCAAGGTCGCACTTGATGAGCATACGGGGGCCTACCAATGCCCAAGGAAGGGGGCAGCCATGTACCTGCTGAACGTATGATACCTGTTGTGTACCCTGTCTGTCCCTGTAATTATTGGTCAGTCAGTCAGTCAGTCAGTCAGTCAGGGTTGGGACATGCCCGTCCCGCGTTGGGAGGGGTGAGGGGGTTCCTGTGCAACCTATTCAAAGCTAAGCGCCAAGTGAGCGGCATTGGCCACAAACGTCCTCACGTGCATTAACATGTAAATCCCGTTACGCGTGCATGTGCATATGAGAACAACGTAAGTGTGTGTGCATACCTAATCACTTGCTCACGTGCATGTGGTAGTCAGGTCCTTGTGTTCTTGGAGCGACATCGCCCATGTATGCAATTCTTGGCAAGGGCAATGAATTTCACCCTTTGAAAGTTGAAAACGAATTGTAAGCATGCTTTCAGCCCCCTCTTCTTCGTCTTTTTCCTCCAAGCTTAACGTCGTTGTGATGATCATCCAAAGGGAACAGAAGAAGAAGAAGAACAAGAAGAACAAGAACAAGAAGAAGAAGAAGAAAAAGAAACACATGAAGCCATCACCCTTGGAGGAGAGGAAGGAGAAGAAGTAGAGGAAACACAGGAAAACGAGCAAGGCAAAGCCTGACCGGGATGTCATACGATGTCGTAAGGGGCGGAGGGAGACACGTGCAACAGGTTGTGTGGAAAACAGCCTCTACCTCTTCCTCTTCCTTTTCCGTTTGGAGCTGTCTCTGCCTCGTGATGGTTCATGTTGGTTCGACTCCTCCAGAGTGCAGCTGGCGGCAGGCTTTGGGCTCTAAAACTGCGGCAGGTGCGAGCGAGGTCGGCTTGGCAGTGCATTTTTCATCTGGACTCGTCGCCTCGCTCGACTCTTTTATTCACTGACTAGCTCCAGCCCGTGGCACGGACTTGCTTGGTCCTCCCCAATTTTTTTTTTCTTTTAAAAAAAAAAGCACCCAGTCCGCCAATTAGGTTTGCGTTCAACAGCCAGTGCGAGCCCAGTCGCATTTTCCTTCTCCTCCTCGGCCGTTGAAGAACAAATCATACACACCCACACACACGCACCATGCCTGGAACCAACAAAGTTAGCCGCCGGGACACCTGCCCGATTTGCTTGGATCACTTGGTGGAGGCTGGGGCCCGTGCCCTGGCAGGCCATGTGGTGCGCCTCCGAGCCTGCGGCCACTACTTTCACCGGGAATGCATCAATGACTGGCTGCAAAATGCCCACACCTGCCCCACCTGCCGTGTGCAGCACCCAGAAGTCCCCATGACCTGCATCAATCTCGGTAGCATCTCGCTCAGCCGTGCCGATGCCCCTGAGCCCGGCACGCTCTCGCCGGCCGTGGAGACCTACATTGAAGCCGTGGTGGAGGCCAGCGACTACAGGTCAGTCCATTTTGTGTTTCATCACCCCCGTTGTAGTCAACGCCAATCCTTACCAAACCCAATTCCCTTTCGATGCGTGTTCTGGTGCCTCCATAGTCAAGCTGACAAGCAGAAGCTGCGTCTTCGCGGCACGCGGGTCGAACTCTTTGCCCCCGTTTCGTCGGCCCCGTCCCAAGACAAGGGCAAGGGCAAGGACAAACCAACCCACCAGCGCCTGCTCAACCTCCGCCTTGAAAACCTCATTGTAAGATTGTGGTCTCCACCACCGTGAAGCTGGCAAGCCTTTTCCTTTCTTCGTCCCACCGGCCACTGGCTGGACCAACCACACCCGACTGATGCCAACCTTTTGTTTTGCCTACGCAGAGTTACCATTCACTGCGGGAGGCCGTGATCTTGATGGAGCAGGTGGATGATGACGGGCACAAACGCCTGGTTCACCACATCTTCCAATTTGAGTCCGAGCTGTCTGCCAGCCGCTGCGTCGGCCGTTTGCGCGATGCCAGTACCGCGGTGCTGGAGAAACTGCAGCGCCGCAACGACTCGCTCATGGCTTCGACCGTCTCCATTCTCTCAAGTCAAAGCGACTACAGTGACGTCAGCCTGGCCAACAGCGCCACCAGCAGCGCCGCCAGCAGTACTGTCAACAGCAACCGAAACTCCATCATCGCCTGATTGTCGACATGACCATGGTACTCAACTAGGTGGCTTCGCGGCCGGCCTGTATCGACCGGCCGCCTCCACCCCCCCCTTTGAGATCTTCCTTCTTAAGCTAGCTAGTTTAGTTTGGCTCCGGTGCAACCGTCAGCGTGCCATGCACGTGTGTACGTATTCCAAGGTTGTTGATCCGTGAGTTCTTCTTTAGGCTCTTTCACTAGTTCTTGTTCTTTACTCTCGTCCTTTGAATCTCCCATGCTTGAGCGTGCGGAGAGTCGTGTTTCTGCTTTATCATCTCTTTTGATACTCTCAAGGCACCTACAGGTGACCTTGTGCCACCCTGCCATTACTCGGCGATTGAATCGTCAAACCTGAGGTCTCAAAACCCCGTGTTTTTCACGCGGGTGCTGGGAAAGCCTTTGTGCGCCGTGCGCATGACATTGGTTTCGATGGGTTGTTCCCATGAAGCGCTGCAGCCAGCTCTGTAGATGCCCGAATCGATTCTATACCACACGATTATCATTCTCACGAGCAAGACACACAATGAACTCGCAAACTCATCAATGACAGCTACTCCGATCCTCTTGGCACGTGTGAGCTGGCGGACCTGGGGTCCCAGCCAAAACCCATTCTAAAAAATCCTTTCCTTTGGAGGAAAGCGGGGAAATGCTGACGGCGTTGCGACCGCTAGTCCTTCCTTCCTACCAACCGGAAGTTTGCCTCCTTCTTTCCCTCCAAAAAAACTAAAATACTTTGTTTCGCCAGGCTCGGTGCGTCGCAGGTCAGCAATGTAATGTGACTGTATCGGCCTGAGAGGTTGAGAGGTGAAGGAGGTTGAGAGGTTGCGATGAAGCGGCGGAAAGAGCTGGGGCAGAGCCTCCGCTGCCACTCTGTCACTGCCTTGTCGTTGCGCTCTTATGAACCCAGTACGCTACATGTGTGCATTCTTCGTTCGTGTGTGTGTGTGTGTGTGTGTCATTTTTCTGTCTTTAAACAATACCTCCTCTTTTTTGAATTTTCCGGCGGGATCGTACGCCTACCTCTTGAAGGGACAGGCGGGGCGGGGACAGGGGGCAGGGTATATTGGTTTGGTGTTTTGGGCTTGGATTGAGGAGGCGAGACGCAGGGGAGAACATGAGCTACAGCTGGGATCATGGCCCATCGTGGCGAAACAACTCGAGTTTTGTTGGGTCGCTGATTCGGGAGACCGCGGAGGAGCGTGATCGACGCCTGAAACGCGAAAGAGAGCAGCGCGAAGCCCAGTACGTGGTTGTGCTCATTCGCCCTTTGACCTTGTGGGCGGTGCTGCTGCTGTCAAGCCTTCATCGGGGCCTGCCTTATCAGACAATGTCCTCTGTGGCTATCTTTGCCATTTTTTTTTTTTCGTCTTGAATTGGACCGCTCATCCTCATCCTCTCTCGTCAACCTCAGGGAGGCACAGGCGCGAATGGCCGAGGCAGCGGCCCTGGTGCAAAGCGAAGCCGCGGCACCACTGCCTCCTTCGTTGGCCCACGATGACGCCGAACTAGCGGAAATGCGCGCCGAGGCTGACCGAATCCGGCGCGTGGTTGACGAGCACGAACGGCGGGCACAAACACAGTGGCAACATAGCTATGTAACCGCCCAGCGCGCCGACTTGGAAGAGCTGCAACAGCTTACTGCACGCAATGATCAAGAACTAGAGGAGGCAATGTTGGCCCTCGATCGGCTCCAACAACGCGAGCGCGAAGAGCAACGTCGGGCTCGTCTTCAGGCATCACAGCTCGCGCTCCTCGAGCAGTCCAACAACCCCTTGGGGCTGTACGCGCCACACAGCGCTCCGGTGGCCGCCTCTGCACCCTGCGAACCCAGTGCTTCAGCAGAGGCGGGAAAAGTGCCTCCTGGTAAAATGGGTCTGGGTGAGGATGGCCTCCCGGCATACGACCGGGTGCATGCCGCGGCCGAGCTGTTCAAGCCCCACGTTGACAACTCTTTGGCGCAGGACGCAGATCCTTGCCTGAGTCAAGCGGCTTGGCCCCTGCCGACAGAGACGCGTCGTTGTGCCTCGTGCTTTGACCCCTTGGTCCCGGTGGCCGGATCCAACAAGACGCCTCAGCGGGTGGTGCCCAAGGGCAGCACGTTGTACCACGAGCGGTGCTACCTACTGCAGGCTGCGCCGCACTGCGCTCACTGTGGTTGGACCTTGATTTCCCATCCCGACCGTGATCTGAGCGGCGCTTGGGGCACGTACAAGGGCAAGCGCTATCATGTTGAGTGCTACCAGTATTTTGCCGGGCCCCGCTGCAAGTCGTGTTTTGATGTCATCTTTGCCAACCCCGCAAAAAACATTAGCGGGCACTGGATCACGCTGCCCGATGGCGGCTTTCTTCACTCGGAATGCGCCGGTATTCCGCTAGCCGAGGCTGCGCTGGCGCCGCCGGGCTATGATGGCCCCAAGTCGGACAAGTCGGACAAAGGCCCCGGGGGCAGTAGCAGCTTCTCATTGAGCAGGGATCTGGGCGACTTGCCCCCTGCTTATGACACCTAGACTCAAGTGTGTACCGTGTCCTCCATCGCAACCGCAGGCCTGCTGGGATGGTCGCTACCCTTGATGGTGCTCTTGTGACGGAGAACAGTCTTCCCCTGCCCAAGTTTTTTTTTAAATTTTACATGCTTATCTCGATCGCACGCTCGATGTGCTGGTGCCCAAACACATTAAAACACAGCTAGCCGACCTTTGGCGTCTCTTCCGGCAGGGCTGCTTGCCAACGCACGCGCTCCCCGCAAGCGTGTGCGACCGCTTGATCGTGCCATTGCCGTCCTTGGCTCTTTTGAGTGTCAAGGCCTGGTCTCTGCGCGCAGGAGAGCGAGGTACACAGACACAGACACAGACACAGAGAGACACAGAGAGACACCGACGCACACAGACACAGACAGACAGACAGACAGACAGACAGACAGACAGGCACAGACACAGACACAGAGACACACAGACACAGAGACACACACACACACACACACACACACACACACACAACACACACACACCCCAACTTTATTCTTATTGCACCACCGCGGTCATTCAGGGTATCGTCGTGCTCGCAAACGTTGAGAAAGTTTCCATAATCCTTATAACGAGAGTTACTGCAGCCCTTGCCGTCTTTAGTGTTGTGTTACAACATTTTTTTAAAAAAAAATTTTTTTTTTTGCGAATTTTTTTTTCGTTTTGTGTTTTCTTTCAACGTTGCAAGCATGACGGCGTCGGGGACCAACGATTCGCAGCTGCGGCTGCCGCACATCATCGCCTCCAAACGGGATGGCAAGGCCTTGAGCCCCGAGCAGATTCATCACTTTGTCAAGGTGGGGTTGCGTTGCAGCTTTTCATGCCGTGCCGTGCCGTGCCGTGTCGTCCCAGCCTCAACGTCACACGCCCCCCTCTTTTTTGGTGGTGTATCAGGGTGTCGTCAGCGGATCCGTGGCTGCGGAGCAGATTGGCGCCCTGCTCATGGCCATCTACTGCAAGGTCAGCTGTTTTGCTTGCTGCTCATTCTCGCTTGAGCTCTTGTTGTCTGGTGACGATTGGTCGAATGCAATACACTCATTCTATACCCATCTCCGCAGGGCATGGATTGGCAAGAGACCACGGAGCTGACCTCAGCCCTCCTCCACTCGGGCACAACCCTGAGTTGGGACACCCCACATCCCGTTGGTCATTCGCGTCGCGCGACATGAACTCAACCAGCCGCGGCGTGCATTGTATCGATTCCTTGCTGAGCCGCCTCGGTTTGTCTGCACACCTGACCGCCTAGATTGTTGACAAGCACTCGACGGGCGGCGTAGGCGACAAGATTTCGCTGGTGTTGGCCCCAGCTCTCGCGGCCTGTGGCTGCTGGGTGGGTTTGGCGTCTTGCTGTTCATCTCGGAATCCTTGACACACACCACACATGACATGATAGCACATGCTGCCTGGCTCAATACGGGTGTGTTTTGTAGGTGCCCATGATCTCGGGCCGTGGCTTGGGTCACACTGGTGGCACTCTGGACAAGCTTGAAGCGATTCCTGGCTTCAGCGTATCGCAGTCCAAGGAGGACGTGCGTGGGGGCCGAGTCATGCTTGGGTTTTGGGTCAGATACTCGCTGGTCGCCTTGCATGATACCTCACCCGGTGTTGGTTGGCATGCTGCGATAGATGGAGCAAATCTTGAGCAAGGCTGGGGCCTGCATCGTCGGTCAAACCGAGTTAATCGTGCCGGGCGACCGTATCCTCTATGCAGCCCGTGACATTACCAGCACTGTGGGCAGCCTGCCCCTCATTGTGGCCAGCATCATGTCTAAGAAGGTGGCCGAGGTTTGTGGGCTTTCACGCATGCTTGAGCAGGTTTCAGAGCCAATTGGTCACAGGGAGATTCACGTCTCTTTTTTTTTTTCTGCTTGCAATAGGGCCTGCAGCACCTTGTCCTTGATATTAAGGTTGGGTCAGCAGCCTTTATGCAGACGGAGAAACAGGTGTGGACCGTGGACCGTGGCTCGGGGGCTCAGCCAGCCTTTTTGTGCAAGTCTCACCCAGTAGCTTTTTTTTTTTTTTTTTTTTTTTTCGACAGGCCCGTGAGTTGGCCGAGGCCATGGTCGAAGTTGGCTGCAACCTGAACATCGAGACCACTGCCGTTCTCACTGAGGTTTGTTGATGGTGCCATGCGTGAATCAAGCTCTGTTTTGTCTGACCCATCCGACCCTGCCTGTGGCTCTCAATCGAACTATTGATGGCCGCAACATAGATGGATTGCCCCATCGGCAAAGCCGTGGGTAACGCCGTGGAAGTAGTCGAGTCCATTCGGGCGCTCAAGGGCGAGGTATGGGGTATCAGGCTGCTCTCTATGATCTTATGCCACAGACGAGTTACCAACGCAGTCAACTCACCCGTGTGCCGTATCTTGCTGCTGGGATTGATCAAGGGCCCGGCCGACTTGTTGGAGCTTGTGACGGTCGAGGGCGGCCAACTGCTCATGCAAGCGGGTCTGGCAACCAACCTGGAGCATGGTCGCGAGCTCATTGCCAACTCCCTCCAGGATGGCACAGCCCTCAAGGCTTTCCGCACCATGTGCGAGGCCCAGGGCGTGTCCTCGGACACTGCAGCCGAGATTTGCGAGGTAGGCAGGTTGCACCGGTCCGGTATCCGCGGCAGTGCGCATTCATTGATTTGTGCCAATGTACTGCCCTGGTTGGTCTGGCCGTGATAGCAACCCGAAGCGGTGCTGCTCAAGGCTACCAAACAGCAGACCACTATCAAGGCATCCACCAGGTACGCTTTGGACTGCGAGCGATTGTGGCATTGCGGGCTTGAGATGTTGATTTCTTGATGCATAACGTCGTATTTCGCAGCGGGTTTGTACAGCACATTGAGGCCATGCCGTTGGCGGAGGTGTTGGGAGAGCTGGGCGCTGGACGCCAACATCCAGTAAGTTTAAACATTGCGGTGGAACCGAGTTGAGATGTAGATGGGTATCATGTTCGATTCACATGTCAGAGGAGAAGACAACAGCCAGACCAGTGGAAAAAGGAAATAAAACCAAACTCGAGCCTAATCAGCCGTGGTGTGTGCAGAGCGACCAACTGGACCATCAAGTGCGCTTGGAGCTTTGCGTGGGGCGCGGCGATGCCGTGCAAGAAGGCCAGAGTTTGGCCACCCTATCTCATAACGCGCCCTTGTCCGAGGCAAGTTTTGGTCAGAGACAGATAACAGGTTGCATACGGGCACAAGCGCTCCATCTCATTTCAAAAGTGCGTTTGCTTGCAAACATCTGGGCGAATAGGAACAAGAGCAGCGCCTGAACGCCGCATTCAAGGTCACCACCGAGGCCACCGAGGCACCCTCACGTATCATTGATTTCATTACGCGCAAGCCGTCAGACGCTGGCAGCAACTAGACAACTGCGGTAGAGAGTGTATGATGTACGCCGGAGATCGGCGGTAACTGAACTTGCATGGCTCTGCCAAGGATAGCGTACGACGCCAATTGAGCCTGGTTTGCCCACGTCAACCAAACATTGTTGAGTGCATGCGTTCAATCATGGCGGCCGATTCGCGCTGTCGTTGCTCTTCGCGTTGTTGCTCCTACAGCGCAGGCATCGAATGTGCGCGGCTAAGCGTCGCAAGGGACTGAAAGATGCGGGGCCATCCATAAGCCATGTCTGGGCACATACCTCAAAAGCTTCGTCATCGGTCGGCAGCTGGTGCCGGCAAAGGGGGCATTGGCTTGTCTATTGGGCGGTATGAGCAACGGGATGGTGCGAAAATCCGACGGGCGCTGTCAAATAACAACGTAAAAAAACAAAACAAAACAATGGGGCGTGCGGAAACCTGAAGCGGTGACCCGTTTGCTGTTTGTGCCGCGGTCACAAAGGCGAAAGCATTACGTACCCGTTCTAGCCAGGCGCCGATGCAGATCGTGTGAAAGACATGGTCACACGGCAGCTCGTAAAGTTCAGCTTTGTCCTCGTAGGGTGCCTTGCAAATGGCGCATTCAATGGCTTGAGCTGGGCTCGCCGGGAGCGGCATTGGGGAGTATGACAAGGCCATGTCAACCCAAAAGGTGGTATTTGGTGAGCCATGCACCACGGCGTTGTGCAGGGGGCTGGCGCAGCGAGCACGCAGGCGCGGCACGGGGGTTTCATGCCTACCAATCTCGCTTTTGGTGGGGTAGACAATGTCAAGATTCTCGAGATATTTTTTGGAAACGGGCGGAATCTGGGTCCGCCTGCTGCCGGGTGCCAAGCCATCCTCTCTGATAGTCGTGGCCCAGTGGCCCGTGTTATCAAGAGCAGGGAAGGGGTCGAGTGAGAGCATTGCGGAACGAGGAGCATGGGCACACGTCACACACGGCACGTCACGTACGCGAGCGTGAAGAGCTCCATCAGCTGCTGAATGTGTTGCGCCAGCGTGCCACGAATTTCGCTGCCATCGCCTTCCAGCAGGTTTGCAAGAAGCTCTCGGGTTTCTTCAATATCTACCGGCGCATCCTGCGTACGAACTCCATCCGACGCCATCGTGTCTCAATTTGTGTGCGCACCGACCAGCTCAGCTGCTCGTGTCAACCAACAAACGTCGAGCACGAAAAAATAAAATTAAAAAAAAAAAAATGAAAGAAGAAGAAATTTGAGAAATCAGAGAGAGAAATCAGAGAAAAGAAAGAGAGTGAAATCATCAAGACTTTAGGGAGACTGAGTCATGTACCATCAGTACGAGGCCATGCAGGTATGGCCGTGGTACACAGGGGAAGGTGGATGGTGTGCTCAGGCGCAGGGAGCGGATGTTCGGATACAAAAGTGCATCGGATCGAAGAGTTCAATTAGAGACTTGGTATGGAAGTGATAACTACTAGAATGTGGCAACTCGGGTGACCAGGCCGGCCCGGTCGAGGTAAGAAATGGCATTTTCTACCGTAGCATGAAACGGGTATAGCTGTTTGGCGAGGCTATAGCACGAAAACCATTTCTAGCTACGCGCAGCTCGAACGGTGGTTTTGGCAGTGGCACGCGCGAAGGTGGCCCCGACACGCTGCAAGCAGGCGCTCACAAGCACTCTGTGCCTAAAGGCAGGGGTCAAAATTTCGTGTCACATGATAGGGCCATTAGACTTGGGCTGAAGATGACTGGGGCAAACAAGTAGTGACCGAGGCTGCGTGCGTGTGTACTTACAATGGAGCGGGATGCAAAGTGGAACACAAAATGGATGATTGGGCTCTGAAAAGCCGGTTTGACGTCGAGCACCAGCACGCGGCCAAGATCATGCCAACCCTGCAGCAGCGAAGAAGAGCAGTTTGATCAGATTGTGTCCGGATGATCGAGGCTCTTTTTCCCATATGCAGGCACGAGCACGTACCACGACAAAATGCAGATTGATGGAAAAGCCTTTGGCATCGGGCATTCCGGCCTCTTGAACCCGGAGAAACAGACCGTCCAGTCGCAGGCGGAGCTCGGGCAGGGTGGTGCTATGGAGGAGAGGCGGCAAAGGAACGGCCGTTGAGCTCTGGTTGAAGAGTTGTCGAGGCACTGGGAAACCACTCGTGGAGCGAGCTGACGCATGTGCTTTGAGAAGAGTCCTCACGCACCTGTTAAGCTCAATGTTACTAAAGCTGCGGGAGAGCTCCAGAATGGTCGCGTCAATGTCGGCGGGTTTGTAGCCAGGCGCATAGGAGCTGCTCACGCGGGCCAGCAGGCGGCAGAAAATGGGGGCGTTTGGATCCCGACTGCGACACAGCGGGCACGCGTCGGACTGCCGCTGCCAGTCGGCAATGCAAGCTTGGTGAAAGACGTGTCGGCATATATTGAGGCGGACGGGACGCTGATCCTGAGTCGCCGTTCGGGTCAGCCTGAGTGGTACGAGAACGATTTGGGCCGAGGCCGGTCAGGCGATAGTTTAAGCCAGATGAGCAATGGTGAGGAGCGAATGCAGTTGTCATGGTATCCGGCAGGGAGGCGGACGAACGGGTCGGTACGCACGGGTCAAGGCAGATGGCACAACTGTCGTCCGTGCTGATGGAAGGCAGTAGGGCATGCGACCAGGTGCGGCGGCGAGAGGTCGCGTCGCAGGAATGTGGCGGAGCAATAGTGGCCATGGCGACAGGGGTCAACGGGGGCTGACGTAGAGGAGTCGTGGCGAACCAGAGCTGAAGGAAAATGAAATTGTTTGGCGAGCACCGGGGTGTTCACGCGTGCAAGGGGTCAGGTGGCGGTTGATGCTGGTCAGGTGGCAGGGCACGAGGGGGGGCATGATGGTGGAGGTCAACGTGGTCGGGGAGGTTGTCTCTTGCACGTCCTCCTTTCCGATGGTTGCCTTGGGAAGGGGGGTTGCAGCCAAGCGGCACGACTGCAAGCATTGTTCAGGCCCATCACACGAAAAGCGGGGTTGGTCAGGGAGCAGGGTGGAATATTTGCCGCTAAATGGGCTACAAGAGCTCGATCAAGTGGGACATGGGTCAAAGTCCAGGGGACAGAAGCTTGTGGAGTTGCAGGAAGAATCCTCGGTTGGCTGGCGGGGTGCTGCTGCTGGTGGTGGTGGTTGGGGTGGGGGCGAAAAGCAAGTGAATGGCGGTTGGGCATGGCTTTGCCACAACAGCGCACTTCGCGGGGATGGGGGTACCTCCTTGAATCCCGCAACAACAACAATCATCGCAGCAAAGTAGATCAAGATGGGACTCCATCGGGTGGGGGGTCCAAGTAGGATCAGAAACACTGTTGGGGCAAAGCAGCTCATGTGATGACCCTTCCCTGCATGCGTGTGTGTGTGTGGGGGGGGGGGTGATCGTGTCGGGGCGGGTCGTGTGTGTGTGTGTGTGTGTGGTGATGGGGGTCCGCTCGTGTTCGTGTTCGTGTTCGTGTGTGTGTGTGTGTGTGTGTGTCATCAATCGCAGCGTCCTAATTTACATGTGCAGAGCGGAGCCCTTCTTGACAACGAGCGGAAAATGTCAGATAATTACAGTGGGTGCCCTCTCTCTGAGCTCCCTTGGGAATGAGGATGGGTTTTCGTCGCTTGTGGGTTGCTTCTCTGTGCTGGAAAGGCTGACATCCTGTCATGATGCAAGACGCGCTGATGTCTGGTGAGTTTTCACCCAGAAGGACACAGACATTCGTTGGGGCGCTGGGATGCGATGCGATGCGGCAGTAGGTGGGGTTGCGAGATAAGCGCACAATTCACGCGTGCATCCAGCAGTTTGGCCTTTTGAGATTGCGCCGTTCCTTTTTTCGCATGCGTGCGTTTCTTCTCTGTTGTTGTGTGACCGAACATGTCAGATATTATCGTCAGACAAAATTTAGAATGTCAGCTGTAATTGTCAGATGATTCATTCATTCTCGATGAGTTATGACAGCTGATGACAGAGTTGCATAATCGGTGGCCGGGCGGCAGACTGTTCAGACAGCTTGTGGTGTTCTCGCAGCTGCAGCTGGCTGTTGAGGCTGTATGGGGTCATCACTTTCATACTCCCTGTTTCAACTCTTTGGCCCTTGAAGATGCACGCGCTGGGACAAGCATTTTTCCGAGGCGTGCTTGGCAGATCAAGTGCCAAATCCGTCACCAATAAGCAGATCGCGGCGAGATTGACGACCATGGGGCGAAACCGGCACGCTGCCAAGGGTGATGCACCGCGCGTGGCGACGAGTGGCCCTCGGCGCGAACGACAGCGCGTGAGCGAGGCCAATTTAGCTCAAGCCGAGAGTGATGCCGATTGCCTCCGCGCTCGAGAACAGACGCAGAGCTATTTGCCCGATGCCCTACCGGTGCCCGTGAGTCAACCAGCGGCTGCCGGGCCGACCGGGCGCATCGAGATACGACTGGGCACGACCCTTTCCGTTACACGTCAGCTGCATGCTGAGCATCCACATCTCAAAATGGCAGCTCTCAACTTTGCCTCAGCCAAGAACCCTGGGGGAGGCTTTTTGCGGGGCGCGTCTGCCCAGGAAGAGAGCCTGTGCCGCCACTCGGGCCTCTTTGTGTGCATCCGCGATAACCCTGCCTATGGCTTGGCACGCCGTGACAACCGTCGTGCACTCTATCATGACTTTGTCATCTATTCTCCCGCCGTGCCTGTTTACCGCGATGACGTGACGGGCGCTCTTCTGGACGAGCCCTACCAGGTTGATTTTCTTACCTGCCCCGCCATCAACGCTGGCGTGGCCCGCGAGCGTGGCGTGACACCAGAAGAGATACTCGAAGCTTTGACTCGGCGTATCGATGCTGTGCTCTCCGTGGCTGCTACGCAGCAGGTGGAGATCCTTGTGCTCGGTGCCTTTGGCTGTGGTGTGTTTAAAAACGATCCCGTCGACGTGGCCAAGGTCTTTGCTGATCTCCTCCACCATAAGTACGCCGGTGCTTTCCCTCACGTTGTCTTTGGTATCCCATCGGAGCGAAATACGAGCAACTTGGATGCTTTTGTGCGCCACTTTCCCCTCGCGTCCTCTGAGGCTGGGCCCAAGGATGAACCAGTCTCATGAGTAGGTGTGGCTCTGCTGCGGCTCATGGCCTTGTACACATAGTTTTCTTATCTGTCATTTGAATCAAATTTAATTGAGCACAGGCTTGTCATGACCCATCACAGCCAACGGGGGGTCAGATGCGCGTGGCACACACAAGTGATCAGAAAGACATTGGCTCCGTGACCGCATTCACTCTCCTTGTGCCCTGTAACCTTGCATGGTGGTATTCCAGTGTCCTTGTGTCCCTTTGTACCCCTGTGTCCTCCTGTGTCCCCTTGTACCCGTGCATCCTAGTCTCCTTGTCTGTGTCCCCTTGTACCCGTGCATCCTAGTCTCCTTGTCTGTACTACCCCTGTGTGCTCCCGTGTCTCTATATCCGTGCATCCTCCTCTCCATATGTCCTTGTATGGTGTCCTTGTACCCGTGCATCCTCCTCTCCATATGTCCCTGTATGGTGTCCTTGTACTCGTGCATCCTCGTCTCCTTGTGTGGTGTACCCCTGTGCGCTCCTGTGTCTCCCCCAGATGCCCGTCCCCTCCTCCGTGTTGTTGTTGTTGTTCATCCCATCAAGATCCATCGTCTCAAAATTTGTCAGAAAAAAGTACACACAAATGCGCTCGTTGTGTGTGTGTGTGTGTGTGTGTGAGAAGTCGAGCGAGCCGAGATTTCAGAGAGAGAGAGAACCAGAGCGGAGAGTGAACGAACACGTCGTGTCGTGGGAGGCGGGCGTCGTCGGCGAGCAGCATCATGGGACAGAGCGAGGAGCTGATTGAGGCCCTGCGCTTCTACTTTAGGTAGCTGTATGATGCTTGTCCTTGCGCGTGAAAGGGTGGTGGATGCTTTTGTGCTTGGGCTTAGCCAAAGAGGCGTTGGCGTGTGACCCCCTTTGCGCACGTGGTGTTGGTGCACTGATCCGAGTTTGACCGATGCGCGCCTTGCTTGCAGTGACGCCAATCTTCGGCGTGACCGCTTCATGCAAGCCCAAGTCAATGCTCATCCGCAGCGCTGTACGAAATTTGATTGCCCTCTCGCACCGGTCCCGGAACGTGGAACCCGCGCCTCGATCTCCTTTGACTCAATCTCGCCATGTGGGGCGGTTTTCCTAGATGTGCCAGTCGACGTGTTTCTCAAGTTCAACCGGGTTCGTAAGTTGACCACCAGTGTCACCGACCTGGTTGAAGCGTTCCAGCGCCTCGAAGCATTGGAGGTCTGTTTTACCCTCCCCCCCCGCCGCAACCCTCAATGTTCGAACTGCTTCTGCCGTGGCTGACTTTCTTCACCATATTCGCAAACTTGCCTTCTGCTCCCGTCGCGCTGCGCCGACAGCTCAATCTCGACCACACGATGGTGCGTCGCAAGTCCGCTATCATCCCAAGCAAGGACACAGATGCCTGTACCATCTACGTGGTACGTGGCTCTCTTACTTTTCCAATGCACACGCGTTTTGGCTAGTGGCAGGCATGCCGCGACTAGGGCCATGCGCTGATCCGCACCTGTCTGTTCTCCTCAGGAAAACCTTCCTCGTGCTTGTTCGCACAGTCGCCTGCGACGGGATTTTGCTCGCTTTGGGACTATCGAATACATCAGGTTCAAAGCTCACATGTCTCCCGTCAAAGCCCGAAACCCGAAATGCCTGCTTCCTCTCAGCCCCCACCCCCACACCAAGTCGTGCCCATCCTCACTGCCTCGCACCAGCTTGCCACGCGATGAGCAGGGTGTCGCCAAAGGCTTTGCTTTTGTTGAATTCGACGTGCCAGAAGCCGCGCAAGCCGCTGCTGAAGAGTTTAAGGTTTGGACCCCCATCCTGCCCCACGTTCAAACAACACACCAACTGCCGGTTGCGCACCGTGGCTCACTCGTTCCTTCCGTAGGCCACGGATGCTTTGCTGCCACTCACAGCAACCCAATGGACCGGCCCTATTCCTGAAGAAATGGCACAAGCCAAAAAAGGTTGGCCCGCTCGGCACTTTCAAAATAGAATTGACCCATGTTCTCATGCTCTCATCCAACACTCATGCCATCCAATGCTCAGGCGTCGAAACACGAGCAGCCAAAGTGCTTGCTGAGCAGCAGCAAGATCAGTACTCGGATAAAAAGTCCAAGGTCAATGAAGATGCACAGTGTTATATCGTCTGGCTGAGGTAAGTACGGACGAGTGGCTCTTCTCATATGTGTAGCCTGCTTGATCTCACCATGCCATGCGCGTGCCTTGTTCTTTTCATCATTTTTATGAAGAACGGCGTGGGCCGCCAAAAAAGCCGAGTACAAGAAGCTTCAGAGTCGGTTGTATTCAGACCAGCCCCATCATGCCGAGTCTGGTGCGTTTGCACCCCCGATAATCTGCCAGCCCTTTGTGTCTCCGACATAACCTGCTGCTCGTGGGCATTTCATCGGTGCTCCGTCTGTTAGGGGTCAAGGTCAAGCCGGACACGAGCAAGGCGCAGGCTGCAGCCAAGGAAAAGGCACTCGAGACTTTTGACCCCGCCAGCATTGAACGTGGCTTGCTTTTGCGCATTGTCGGTTTTAAGCGCGATGCCAGTCGGCAGAGCATCAAGGTAAGAGTGTGATTGCTTGTCGGGGACGACGTGAGCGTTTGGCGTTGGCATAGTCGGTCATCTCAAATGCCCGACTGTTTACCGTGTGTACGCACACACAGTCTACCTTGCAGGTGCTTGCACCCAGCGTGGCCATCAAGGATGTCAAATACACCAAGGGAGATAACGTGGTGAGTGTTTCGTGGGCGCCGGCGCGCGCTGCTTTCTCAGTATCGCTTGTTGCCTAACAGCGGTGGTCCTGATTCTCACGCACCTCAGGCTACGGTGCGATGCACCAGTACTCTGGACACCATCGCGCTGCGTGATATCATCCTGTCCGATGGCACATTGACGGCTACCGTGTCCCAAGGTATGCGCATACGTCTTACACCCCACTTTGTACAAACGGGGCTGCATGTCTGATGTCGAGTCCTTGAATTGTGCTACAACTGCTTGCAGGCGAGGAAGAGGAAGATTACTGGCGCAAGCATGCTGCAGACGAGTCTCGGCGCAAGGCCAAGCGCAATGCCCAGTAGGTGGTCTTGGCTGGCAGTGCAATGCCCGTGATGCAGCTGATGGCAGTGTCCTGCCCTGCTGTTTGTAGAGTCCGGGCCAACAAGGCTGCTCTGAAGCGCGCACAGCCCGAGCGAGGAGTGCCCATGGATGATGCCCCGGTGGTTCCCCGCAAGCCGTCAGGAAGCACTGGTCATGCCCCCCCGGCTGCCGGGGATGCAACTCAATCAGGCACCGCCTCGGAGGCACGGCGCAAGCGTCGCAAAAAGCGTGGCAGCAAGCCCAAGCCGGAACACCTACACTTTGGGGATGGGGAGCCAAGCTCTGAAAATGCTAGCCACACCGATCCACCCGTGGCTAAGCGCGCGAAAACCGAAGCCGCTGGTTCGCTGGATCAGGCCGCAACGGATGGGAAGAAGAAGCAAGAGAAGGAGAAGAAGGAAAAGAAGGAGAAGAAAAGCAAGAAGGACAAGAAGGACAAGAAGAACAAGAAGGACAAGAAGGACAAGAAGGACAAGAAGGACACAGACACGACCAATGCCGGCGCCAACGTCACTCATCCTGCTGTGGACCAAAAGCACAAAAAGTCCAAGAAGCACAAAGTTGAAGCGCATCAAGCTGGTGGTACTCCCGAGAACCACTCTGCTAAACGGCAAGCCGAGGCCGACCGGGCTGCAGTGGTGCCCGGAACAAAGCGACCGGCCACTGAATAGGCGATTGTGGTCGTTGTGGCGCCAATATGGGTTGTTTGCTTCACTGTGTGTATCTGTGCTCGTCTGTGGGCATACTTGTCCGAGAAGTGAGAGTGTCTGGCTGACTGTCGATAAAAGAACAAATCAACTATCGATATGCTTAAAGCGGGCAACGCTGATGGGGGTTTAACATGTTGAAGCGTACAAAATACGTCATACCCCCGCACCGGGGGTCGTTGTTGAGCAAACTTCTAGATTTCAGTCACGTGCTGAGAACGACGAGGAAGGCGAGGTGAAGCTGCCTGCGAAGCTGCGCGCGAACCAGGGCCGCTGGTCGTGCCCACGGTCGGAAGGCGGCCCTTGTCCGTGCGGGCTTGTGTGGCCGGTGTGGAGGACGGGTCTCGCTCTTGACGTGCGATCAGTCGACCCAAGAGCGGTGTGGCGGGTCGTGGTACAGGCCACCACTTGAGTTCCAAGCTGGCATGCCGCAGAGGCGTCTCAAGCTCCAGCTACCAGCGACAGGATGGGCAGCCGTGTGAGGGAGGTTTTTTTTTTTTTTTTTTTTTTTTTTTTTTTTTTTTTGGTTGCAAGGGTGTGAGTGTCTTACATACTCCAGGGCCAGTTGGCTAACCTCAAAGCTGTGGTGAAGCTGGGCACAGAGCTTGAGGAGTAGAGCGTCTGTCAGTGTTCGTCCTGGGCAGGCTGTGTAGTGGGTGATGCAGGCAGCCAACCTGAAGGTGAGAATGACGGGTTGAGAGAGTCGGCTGATGCGCGGCAGGCTGGCAACAAACCGTGTGTGCCGTGGCCAAATGTCAGGGGCCGGGGCACATTTTCGGCCCAGCGATCCGGGTTGAAACTCTGTGGTGCACGTGTTCCGCGTTGAGCCCAATCATGGAAGATGAGACGATGCTGTGAGAAGGATGACCCGCAGCATTCAGCAGGCGTCAACGGCATTCTCATGGCAAGGGAACGAACCTGGGGATCCTCGTACATAGCTGGGTCGGCATTGGCAAGTGGAATGATCACCATGATGTGGTAGCCCAGAGGAATGTGAAAGCGGCCCACGTCCACGCCCTCATTCTGCGTTGTTCCCAAACGCAACAAGCAAATGTCAAAGTGGTTCGAGTTGTGGATTGGGCGGCAACTCGAACAGCTGATACGCAACTCGGGCCGTAAGAGGGGGACGGGGGAGCATTCCCAGCATACCTTTTTGACGTGTCGGCGCACGGCGAACATCGAGGGATAGCAGCGTTGTGTCTCACGTAAGACCTGGTGCCAACGACGAGGATCAAGCTCTCCATTGGCTGCTACACAAGCGTGTTGCGTGCCGGCGGCCATCTATTCACGCATTCGGCCTGTCAGCAAGATCTCGCAAGCTGCTTTTTGGACATGTGGAAGGGGTAAAATTTCCTCAAAGCCTTGGGAGCGACAAACCCAACATACCGCGAGTGTCAAGGAGGCGGCCAAGGCCTTGGGTACAAGCGCTGAGACCAAAAGCAGGAGCTGGTCGGCTTTGAAGGCGTTATCATATTCGTCCAGTGCCTGCACTCGGGTGCAAGAGTTTGGTGAGGGAGACACGCGCGCATGGACCAACTCTTCTTGGTCGCGATCAAATGGTCAAGACCTTATCAAACTGGCGCAAAAAGGTCAGGGCCGCATTGTCGGGTTCTTCGCGCACGCGTACAAGTTGGTCCTGATTGAAGGGGTGTTGGAGTACGTAGGTGCAAGTGAGGTGAGTGCACTGCAGCACCGGGCGCTGGGTGTGTGTGTCGCGACAAGACCAAGCACAAACCTGAATGAGGCGAATCAAGATGTCACGAGCCTCCTGTGCCGTGGCCACCGTGCTTTTGCTGCCCAGACCCAGGTTGAAAGTACTGAGCAGACCGGTAATGCCATGCCTTGGGAGAAACGGAGGTTGAAAAGAGTAAGTCAGGGGGGGGGGGGGGTAGGGCGTGAGCTGTAGGCGAATGCTTGCTAGCAGAGGTAAACAAAGGAAGAAAAGTTAGGAGACTGGCGACTGGTGGTACCAGTGGTCTCGCAGGAGCCTTTCCAAGTGCTGTTCATAAATGACGGATTGCTGTGGTGTGCACCGCCGGGGCATGAGGGGTATCAGAGTGTGGGCCCAGTGGCAGCAAAAGCATGGTGTCGTACCTCCAGACCCAGCATGATCATGAGAGTGGCGTGCAAGCAGACGACTTTCAAATTCTGGTACAGATCAAGGGGCTCGTCACTGCTTGCTTTCTGTATGAGAGCAGAAGGGGCAGGGGCGTACACGAGTGAGCTGGCAGCTGAACGGTGAGGCGGAAGGAGACTGGAGGCTACCCGCTCAGTGGACACGCGGGTTCAGGCAAGGGAACATGCCTCCTGAAGCAGGCGGACGGTTCGAGCGGCCACGTTTGTGAGGAGGGGGTCCAAGGCTTCGATGTTGCTTGGTGCGAGCCAGGTGAGGAGGCAGGACTTGAGGCGAATATGCTCGCGGTTGTGGGTGGTCAGCAGGATGGACTCTTCACCAAAAACGTCGTGGAACAAGTCGTCGTACGCTTCGCTAGCAGAGGCGGCTTCCTCGGGCAGAGCTAGGACCTCGCGGGCCGTGTCGTAGTCGCAAACAACAATGGTACCGTGGTTGAGCAAGCGTGTCTGAAAAACGCTGCCATGTTTTTCGGTGCGTTTGCGACAAAACTCGAGGGGCTCGCGCCAAAAGGCCAGCGTTTGATCGCTCAAGAGAGGTACACCGGTGGAGCCGGGCACGTTGCATTCCTTGCCCATGAACGCGGTGCAAGGCAGCTACTACCAGGGGCAGCGTGAAACGGAACAAGCTCGTTGTGGACGCCGATGGCCAGAGGAGGAGGAGGAGATATTGGGAGGCAGAGGGGCCAAGCCAAGGTTTAGGGCTCCACTCAGAAACTAGTGCGTCTGTCTGTTCGTGTGTGTGAGAAATCGAGAAAATGAAATCGCCATGCGGACCTCGTGAACACAGACATCGCCGCCTCACCCTCGTTCTTTCAAAGTCAATTGCCGCGACGCCATCCAGTTGCATGCACTCTTGACTCCACACAATGTCATGTGCACCACCAAGGAGCCGTGCACATGTAGCCAATGTATGTAGCCAATATAGCCAGTGTAGCCAGGCAGCCGCCGAGCCGTGTGACATGTACACAGGGAGCGGGGGGAAGAGGGGGGTCGAGATGTTGCAGCAGTCGGCAATCGTCATCATCATCAGCGTGTGGCATCGGATTTCATCATCATGTCACAACAGCAGCAGCAACAGTATAATTATCAGCATGTCAGCCATTTTGTACCATGCTTGCATGAAAATAAATTATTACAAACAACAGCTGCTGATCTTTTGCTGCTATGAGAGGCAGAGGCGGGTGCTGAGACAACTTGCGGGACGTCGTCGTTGTTGCTTCTGTAAGGTCGACATGAAGGGCACATTCACGCAGCTTCCAGGGCATTGAGAGGACTTGATGTTGGCGGGCCGACTTTGATGTGGAAGTGTGGCGAGATAAAGATGCGAACTGGCGACAAGCTCCACGGCGTTATCGTCTTGGACGCCAACGACAATCTCACTGGACTTATTGCCACATTATTGTCATTTCACCGGATTTTTAGCTTAGGTGTGACGGCGACAATGAGTGAGCCGCCTGAAGAGGGCCAGGGGCACGATATTGGAGAGGGTTCGGTCATTGTGACCGTGCCTAGTGGAGGTATGTCTGCTCGGCGACAATACATAGATTGGAGTGTTATAGTTTAATCAAGCCTAGCCTTACGATGTGCGTTTGGCATCGCCAAGGATTATGCGACCCTGAAGCCGGCACCAATGAGAGAGCTCTTTCTCAAGCCTTCACCGTTGTTACCGAGGACAATGTTGCCGACAGTCCAGCTGAGAGCTGTCGGAACAAGGGCACTGCCGAGTCTCAAATACGGACGAGTTCACCTCGCCGACATTGAAGAAACTGCGATCTAAACATCAATGAAGGTGAGCGCCTTCGAGTTGGCCCTCATGGCCCAAGGGCGCGTTGCAACGATCAAGCGCAAGAGCATTGAATACACGCTGGCCGGCATTGAAGCCAAGGTAGGTGTTTTGTTTTGTGCTCCGACTGGCGCTGACAAGGCGATTACGTTGCTTTGGCTCGATGGCCCAGCGTGTGTTGCCCGGCAAATCTTATTTGAAGCATTTGAACATAACCTGTGCGGCCCCCAAAGCCCTGCAAGATATAGTGGGCAATGGCATCTCGGCCGAGACCATCTATCTGTCTTTGATGACATGATATTAACACTGATGATTTTAGCAACTGGCGTGTCACGACATCAAGCTCTTGTTGGCACCAATCTTCCTCACAGAACCATACACGCCAGGGGCGTCGGTGTTTGATGAGGACTTTTCAAAGCTCATGCAAACCGTGTGGAAGCATCAGACCTTGACTCATGCACAGGCCAAGGTACTGCCGTATGCCCTGGACCTTATGCAGACGTATGCACATGCTAGCATTGGTTCAGTCTGCATTGGAGCAGATTATCTTGGCTCGGGCCTCTTTTGAGAGCCACAAGCGCCCATACCACGTGCAAAATGGCCTCATTGCCTATGTGTGCGGTGGTCTGGATGAGCCCAGCACTGAGATATCCTATGGGTATGAGACTCAGTTTGCATATCTGACTGAGAAGGCACACAGTGGTGACAGCAGACGTGCGCAATCAACACGTGGGTCTTTTCTGCCCAGGTGGCTGTTTTGGTCTTGCCAAGTTGGTCCAAAGGTTCAGCCTTATCAGCGGCATAACAGGTACCGTCCCTGACGACATCCGAGTTGCATAGAAGGGCAGCGTCATCCGCATCACGGGTAGAGACCAAAGAGTGCTTCGATGGCACTCACACATAAAAAATAAAAATAAAAAACAATCAAACATGAAACTGGACAGGCACACGCCATGGCGGGCAAGTTTGAGCGTGCAAAAGAACACAGTAGTGGACCCGAGAGGGTTGTGCAAGGTTGAAGCTGGTCTTCAACTTCTCGTGGCCAAGTGGGACTGAGGCTTGTTACTCTTCGACCTGATCATCACGCAACAGCAGCTAAAACAATAAGTGCATTCCAGGATCATGAATGTGCATGGCAGGAAAGGGGTGAAGGTCTGAAGAAGATGACTCACGTCATCAGGCTGGTTGTCAATGACACCGTACTCAGCCAAGCGGTTGTGACGCAGACGCCAGCGCATGGCAAAGGCGATGACACCACCGCCAATTACCAGGCACACTGAGGTACAGCCACATCTATGGAGCACACGTGGGGAGAATAAAACATGACCATGGTGATGCTTGGATCAACGAAGCGGTAGAAAAACAGAAGGACGTACCGATGGAGATGCCGGCAATGGCTTTTTCTTGGTTGACTTGCCGGGAGTAGGGGATGCGGTCGGGCCCGTGGTCGGGACCAGGCCGGTACGGTGCCGGTGGCTGTGTCGGGGGTTCAGGAGCCCTTTCAACGGACTGCTCGGCTGACCTAAAATGCCGCAACCATTATGCGGATTCGTGTACATATGGGCCCTTAGTAGCCTTGTGCCTTCGCTTGTTAAGATACAAATTGGCTTAAAATGCTAAAACTACTACAGGTACTAAAGACAATCTGCAAGTGTTTTCATCATCTTCAAAGCATCAACCACCAAAGTATTTTACATAAATCTCGTCGGGCTTGAAGCATGGCAGCGGTGGAAGCACAGATCGTGGTGGCCCAGGCCGCTGACGGTGGAGGCGCGACCGAGGCGACGCTAGAACAACAGCAGTGGACTCGAGCGTTGCCTGATACCGGCAATTTGGCAGACTTGCATGCGGTTGTCTCGGAGGTTCGGGCCGCGATGAATGCCCACCTGACGGCGGCCATTGAAGCTCAGGGCCAATCAGTGCAAGGTGTGTGTGGTGCGGGTTGGCATCGTTGTCCTTGGACCGTACTAGGGTCTCCTGGCGGCTTGCTTTGCACAGGGAACCGCCGCTCATGCTGTGTGCGTTGTGACATTAATGCTTGGCACGAGCAGAGGACGACAAGCGCGATCATCTTGAAGACGAGGACGAAGACGACTGATGGCTTGACTGGCTATTCACCCCACGCCTGCTTTTCTGAGTGAGCGCTGTGCGCTGCCGCGTCAAGGACAGGTGATCTTTTTTTTGTCGTTTTCCCATGTTACCTACACCCGAATAGACTTTGCGTCACAATGCCTTGATGTGTATGATGATTCACGCGTGCCATTCCCATCAAACAGCACGACATGGGGTGGGATGAAAGAAGAGGTACTACAAACAAACAATAAAACAGCACGACGTCTTCCATTTGAATTTTATGGTTCAAGAGTCAGGGCACAAATCGCCGTCAGAGATGGGATGTAGCCTCACAACAAGGTCCAACCCCATCAGCTGAACTCATTGCTGGACTAGAGCATTGGAGCAATGGACTAGAGCATTGGAAGGGCTTGCACAAAACAAAGTCCTGCTCCTGAGACGCAGCAGCAGCGACGCGACAAGACGCTTAATAGAAGAAGCCGAGGATCTTGCCACCAGTGTGCTTGCGACGGGCCTCCTCGTGGTCCATGATGCCATCGGCCGTGGTCAGGACGATGTGGCTGTCAAAGTAAAACAGACGGCAATGTGCATCAGATCACCTTTCAACCAACCAGATGCGGTGGCTTCGGCATTATGGCTTTCAAGAGCGGCGCGCACGTGTAGGAGGCAGTCAACTTACCCGAACTGACGGGAGGGAAGCAGGTTGTTGACCCACTTCTCGATCTCCTTGACCTTGACATCGAAGCGAGGGGAGATGACACCGCACTGCAAACACGTGATGATAATGTGAGCAAGACACCACGTGGAGCAACGTTGGCTCTGGAACTGCCCAGACCCACAGGAACAGCGAGCAGGACGAGGACACCACAAAACAAGCGATAAAATAGCGAAAACCAACCTTGTTCAGGCGACCGTTGAGCTGGACAACGATCTTGCCGGCGCGGTGGTCATCGACGAACTCGAACTCGTCAATGTAACCTATCAAAGTTGGGGATGGGCTGTGTTAGGCAGGCGCAAGTACGCAAGCAGGGCTTGGGTACAGGCGGTACTGCGCTAACCGTGCTTCATCATGACCTGGAGGAACTTGACGACGACCTTGCTGGCGGGGCGGATCATCGCCTGGCGCTTGCCGCGCTTCTCGGCGTTGGTCATGACGCGCAGGGCGTCGTTGAGCACACTCATACGCATATTGCTGTGAAGAGAGAAAAGAAGGGGAAAATCACCGTCAGCGAATAAGCCACACAATGCGCCCCACGTAACATCCCAGCAGAACACGGGGCTGCCAAATAGGAAGAGCAGCGCTGCCGATTGGCGCGCGAAGTAAGTCGGTGAGGGTCGCGGAAACACACACCTGGTTTGAGGTGGGAAGAAAAGAAAAAAAGTGCACCACGAGGTTCAAACCTTTTCACACAACAACAACACACAATAGCTGTTCTTGATAAATTACCGATCAACACCTGTTGTCGCCAACACTACATAACAACCAACGTTTGCACACGAGAGAGAGAGAGAGAGAGAGAGAGAGAGAGAGAGAGAGAGAGAGAGAGAGAGAGAGAGAGAGAGAGAGAGAGAGAGAGAGAGAGAGA